TAAAATGTTACATATGATTGTACCGAGTTAAAGCTTCCATGCACAAGCTAAGATCAAATTAAAAAAATATCAAATTAAAAATTCGTTCGTATGCCCTAGCTATATGTGTTACATTCCGCTTTACGTGACTTACGAGTTACGACGGGAGATAGACAGAGAGTTATATATGGTTGTTCGTTTTGTGCTTGATATTATAAAAAATAAGAAGATTGAAAACGATATTGATTAAGTAAACAACAATAGATACACATACAGTAAAACCTCTATAAATTAATAATGTTGGGACTGCAATATTTTATTAATTTATGGAGTTATTAATTTATCGATATAAAATTAGTTTGAAAAACTAATTTGGAATTTAATAAATGTATTAATTTATCGAAATATTAATTTATTGAGTATTAATTTATAGAGGTTATACGGTATATAGTTCATTTAGTAGATTAGTTGAAGAACTTGACGTTCATATTTTTAGACAAGGTAAATGGAATTAATCGTGTGGATATAATAGACATGCTAAAATCTTAGGATATTAAAATAATCTAAACAAAACTGAATGATATATTAATATATATACTATACACATAGCTATAGATTCTTGTTGAAAAGTGATTCAAAATCTTTGAAATGGAGATTTACTTGATTGTGTCTTTTGAAAGGGAGGGATGTGATTGAAGGAAAGACAAGGCTTGTGATTTGTCCATTTCATACTTAAGGTGGACCAACTAAACCACCAACTCTCATGTCTTCTATGCAATTATTTCTTAAGCATTTTTCCTTTTCTGTCTTTTTTTCCCCTACAAATATTTCAAAAATTGTGTCGACAATGCAGATAATTATTTGGGTATGTTTTGAGATTTTTCTTTGTTCCAAAATAGATAATGTTTTGGAAGTATTTAATACTATTACACTTTACAAGAATAATTTAATAGCATATTTTATTTAATTATTTTGAAATAATAAATTTTTATTTGTAAACAAACTAATAGTATTAAGTGATGGAGCTAAAGTTCATTCATAATGATTGTAGAGCATTTAATAAGTGTGTGAAAAACAAATTTTAGAAAATGAAAAATCAAAAAATAACTAAAAGTAACACATATTTATTGTTTTTTAATAAGAGTGAAATTTCTAAAACATCATCTATTTTGGAATAGAGGGAGTAATATTAAATACATGAACTGTATTCCCAAAACAAATATTAACCTCAACTCCAAACTACGAGATCAGATGAGTTGACTAAAACAAAACTACGAGAGATGTAGCCAAAGAGGCTTAATTATTTTTTTTTCCAAAACTTATTGCTTTTCACACCATAATTTTCTTATCTAACGAGTTTTAATAACTCTTATCTACAAAATTTAATAGTTTTCATAACTACTTCACGATAATATTTAACAAACAAGAAAAGTTATTCTTTGAGCTATTAATTCATTCTTACATCCAGATTTACGAAAATATCTTTGAATTAAACGTTTTATCTTACACTTTTAATTAATTATAAACTAAAAAGGATGAAAGCCACAATACTTTTCAAATCCATGTTAGTGCGGAATGGATTAGAATTATGGCATAACGAGTTAATGCTGTACGGTCAGTCGGTCACAAAGATGAGAGATCTATTTCCCGTTATCACCATTGAAGGCGCTCCACGTAAGTAAAAAGTAGTCGGTAACTAAAGAGTATGATTAGCAACAATTAGGCACTTTTGATCAAACTAATGATTAACTTCCTCCGCTTGTTCACTCCCAAATTATTTCACTGAACTCTTCGTTTCCCTATAATTTACTTTTTACTCAAATTACACCTTTAAATGTGTTACATACATTCACGTTTCTATAAATTTTTCAAAAGTAAGATTTGTGAAATCTACAATTTTACACTAATAAAATGAAGTTCATTAGTTTCGACAAAATGTCTAAATTTGATAGATCGTACTCGTACAACTTTTGTTTGGTTGTGGTTTTGATTTTGGCAAATATTACGAAAATCTTTTTTTTTTTTATATTACGAAAATCTTATATATCTGTATTATGTGATTTATGTTGTAGCAAGACCTACAATAATGGGTAAATACAGATAATGTTTATATGTGTGTCATATGGTTCATATATATACCTAAACATAAACATATAACTATATTAGGATATGGGTTAGACCCACTGACGACTTCTAGTCTACTCTCTCTTTTGGGCAAACTAAATAAGAAAAGTATCTCAGAATCTTGACCAATGGGTTATCCTTCAAAATCTAAAAAAAAAAACCTTCTCTTTTTTTTCTCTCACGATACTGTAATGTGAACTTGACCAGAAAAGGGAATCGCTGTTTTGCACACGTTGTCGTCTTTCTATCAATTTTCAGACCCAAAATTGAAAAAAAAAATTAAAACAATAAGGAGAAAGTTTGGGTGTGTGTATGTGGTGGCTAAGAGAGAAAAATAATGATGCCAATATAATGATGTAGTTTCTCTACCGTGGGAAAGATTTGATCGATATATAAGTATATATAAGTCATTTCAATGTACGAAATCTAAGTTTTACTCAAAAACTTGGTTATGTATTTGACATGTGAGTGAATAGAAAAAAAAATTTATGTGTTTTAGTTATTATTATGTGTACACGTCGTAACGTCGGTCGAATGGTAAATTGAATTTTATTAGAAGAAAAAAAAATTATTAGAAGGAAAATAATCAGTGGGTGGTGAATAATGTCAAGTCATTGCGTAACTTCTGATTCTGAGAGTAGCGGGCCAATGAAATCAAGATTTCTAATGAAGGTTTTTTGTTTGAAGAACCAATTAAACTTTCTATTTCTGGATAAACCATTATACGAATCTACGCTTATTTTGCCGATAGCATGAATATATCCAAAGAGAACTGAAAACTAGGGAATCAAGAGAAACGTAGCTCTTTTACCAAAGAAGTAGGAGTTTATGATTAAGAAATCAACTATTAATATTTTTTCTTTCAGTTATTCTTCGATTTGGGTGTAAATACTCAACTTAATAATAAACTAGATTTTAACCTCCCGTGTGGACGCACGAGAATATTTTTTTTTTTTCTAATATAAGTTGCATTTATCTTTTTTGTTTAGATATAACTTATTTTTGTTATTTATTTTTTAAATCAAAAAATTGTTATCATATTTTAATTTTAAACAGTAAAATTTGTATATTAGTAGAATAAGAGTATACGTTAATTAAGTATACATTGATCTAATGTTAATTATAAACTTTGTTATTACGTGAATTTAGATTTACACATAAACAATCTATATATATATGAATTTGCTAATCCATCCGTTTAGTTGTCTTAAATTATTTTTAATATTTTACATGTTTTGACAAACTAACCCGTATAAAACTATAATTATAATTGTATAACCCTATAAATATTTACTAATATGGAATATTTGGACCAATTGATTATGAAAAAATATAATAAGATATTTATTTACTATTTGTGCTATTAAATATATATATATATAAACGGACTAACCTGTTAGTTTAATTGTCTCAAATCATCTTAATATCTTACATGTTTTAATAAATTAACTCATGGACCTTAAATTTTAAATAGTTGACAAAAAAAAATAAATCTTTTATGTATTTAAGAAATTCTAAAGTATTAAAATTATTATCTAAATTTTCATAATAAAATGTAATTATAATTTTTTTTTGAAATTTTTGAATTTAAATTAAATTTAATGCAAATTTTTGTAACTAAATTTAATTAAATTTCTGATAATTTGAAATTTAAATTAAAGATGACATAGATTTTAGGAAATCTAAAAATATTTAAATTAATAACTAATTTTCAGAAATTAAATATAAAAATAAAATAAAATATTATAAAAAAACTTTGGGAGTGTTTGGATGCAAGCACTAAATGTCCTTATGTTTTAATAGAATAGATGCAATATTCGATTATCTTGTGTTTTTTTTTTTGGTGAATGATTATCTTGTAGTTTACCGATGTTGTACATTAAAAAAAAATCTGGATTAGAAACATTATAGTACTCCTTCCGTTTCATAATAAGTGTTATTCTGACACATTTCACACAGATTAAGAAATTAATAAAATATACAAATATACCCCTAATTAATATACTTTCATAACATTTAATTACAAAAACTATTATTTTTAAATGAGGGATAAAACAGAAAATAAGAGTAAAAAGTTACATTGAAAATGCAGAATGACACTCTTTTTAAAACAAAAAATGAAATATAAAACGACATTTATTATGAAATGGAGGGAGTACGATCTATCGTTCTGTTGATTCAGACTGTTGGTTTTAGCCTAAATGGTTGTGTTGAACTCAACAAAAAAAATAATATACTTATATATTGCATTTAATTACCAGAATTTAAATTTAGATCTCTCAAGTAAGACTTCGACTATGTAGAATGTTTTCGGTAAAAAAATTTGATTGCATTTAATTTAAACTCTTTGTTTTTTGGTCAAACAATTGCATTTAATTAAAACTAAAAAACTGTTGCAATTTTCATAAATTTATAAAAGGGCCCATACATGGCTAGTTATATGAAGAGTCCAACAACTTGAACCAAGGAAGTGTACAAGATTAAAGGCCTAAATAGCCCATTGTCTATGAAAACAGAAACAATGGAGGAACCGAAGCAGAGTAGAGGAAATTCACCAAGTTCGATTATGAACTCACAAGTACATTCTCTTGAGAAACTGTTGATCTCGTCTTGAATGTAAGGGAATGAGACAACAGCGCATAAAGCTATCGTTGAAATCCTGTTGTCACGACAACGGGTGATTTGCGTTCATTACTGCCCGGTCCTTGAAAAATGAGCTAAACCGTAGGAACTGAATAGTGCAGCAAATGTTATAATCCGGATAAAAAATGCGAAGTAAAGGTCGAACCCTAATTAGTCTTTCAGATCCAGATTGCAATTTACGTATGAATGGAAAGTTTAAATTATCAAATTTAGATCCTTATGGCAGACCAAATTCAACCAAAGAAATAAGAAGCAGACCATCGAAACCGAAGATATGAAATTTAAAAGGCATAATAATGTTGAGGTTCAACACTGAAGACATAGATTCTATCTGATAGAGAGAGGTCTCAAAGAACTTTATAATAAATCTTAACGTTTCAAAACAAGGTCTCAACAATAATCCCAAAAAAGTGAACAATTTCATCTTGAAGACTCTTCTTCTCATCCTTAGTCTTGCTTGGCAGCAAGAGCAGCAGCTTGACCTCTGAGACGACCAGTCCTCCTTGCAGCAATAAGACCAACCTTTTGTCCAGGTGGTGCATCACGACGAACCGTACTGGCGTGACCAATATGTTGATGGTTACCTCCTCCGTGAGGATGCTCCACTGGGTTCATAGCCACACCACGCACCTTAGGCCAGCAGTTTCTCTTCACACGGTACTTGTGGTATGCGTTTCCTGCCTTGAGCATTGGCTTCTCTGTTCTTCCACCTCCTGCAACTTGACCAATCATGGCCCTGCATCCACTTGGGACAATCTTCTTTGAACCAGATGGCAACTTAATCCTGTCAAAATCATTTCCCAATTTGTATTTTTCAGAACAAAGCTTTTTCAAGTGTAAAATGAAAATTCACTAAAGCTTTTCTTCTACAAAAATGGAAGAACTCAATCAAATGATGAGCAATATTTTCTATAAACATGTCTAATCCCATTCCAACGCAATCAGCCAAAATGATTCAAGTTTATACCAAAAACAATAAGGTGAAACAATTCTATGAATCAAATCACCAGTCATTTTCAAGCAGATGATCATTTCTAATCTAATCTAACGCATTCATCAAAATTGATCAATGAGGAAAACATCGCCACAAGAGAAACAAACCTGCTTGTATCGTTATCAGGGTTGTGAGCGATAACAATGGCGTAATCACCAGAAGCCCTAGCGAAAACACCACGATCACCAACATGATGCTCGACATTGCAGACAACAGCTCCTTCGGGGATAGATCTGAGCGGGAGAACATTTCCGACGACGAGAGTGGCTTTCTTACCGCAGTAAAGGAACTGACCGGTGTACATTCCTTCGGCGGCGACGAAGAGCTCCTTCTGCTTCTTGTATCGGAAAGGATGACGGAAGGCGACGCGAGCCAACGGAGCTCCACGTCCTGGATCGTGGATGATCTCCGTCACGACTCCCTTGAGATATCCATTTCTCTCACCGAAATCGAGGCTCCTGAATTTGGCCGGACCTTTACGGTGGTGAGTGTGGGACTTGAAGACGGAACCCGCTCCCTTACGTTGAGCTCTGATGACACGACCCATGGAGGATGATTTTCCTTCGTCTTCTTCAGATTACGGCTAGGGTTAAAGCATTTGCAAAACAGAGAAAATCAGGTTTATATTCTTCTGAATACACTATAGCCTTCCAAAACCCTAGTGGGCTAAGATGGATCATGGACCTACTACCTTAAATGGGTCTAATAAAAGTCCAGTTAAAGCCCAAACTAAAAAACCCGGGAAAATCGAAGATTTTGAATCATTGGATCAGTCAAATCCATCAGAAATCCACTAGTTTTTTCCATGCACCCGCCCGTAGCCTACAACTGTCTCCTCGTATTCCGTTTTATTTCTTTTTGAAAAAGAACAATAAATGGCGATTATTGGTTTACATATCGAATGGGGAAACAAATAAAAAAATTTAAAAAAAAACAAAACTTTTGAAAAAAATAGAGAAAGTTTGTCTGTTTGTGGAGCGTCAAAGTTGAAAAAAAGCGACAGCCTCAGGCGCATAAATCATCCACCCGCTCCTTCTTCTCTGGCACAAACACGCTCCTCCCACTTTCTTCTCCTTCTTCTCTCTTTCTCTCTGTAGCTCCAGGAATGTTCTTCGATCTTCGCGCGCTCTGAAGTTTCTGTGGATTCATTTGTCTCTGAGGTATGCTTCTTTCTGATTCTTAGCTAAAGCTTGGAAAAAGTAAATTGTAGTGATTGAAATTGTTCAAGAGAAGTGATTGATTTTTGGTATTTTTTACTTGCTTTTGTGTTCTAAGTGGAAGATATAGTGTAGCTGATGATGATCGGTTTTATATGAAGAACTCGCGTACAGTGGGTAAATTTTTAAAATGATTTCGAATTTTTGTAAGCGTATCTCTCCTTTTTTTTCTATCTTATTTGAAAGTGAAATTTTAAAAGGAAATAAAAACTGGTGGGTGAATGTGGTCTATATTCGGAAAGAAATAGTTATTGTCATTCATTGTAGAAGAAAAAAAAAAACAAGAAAACAAAACGGTCACTATTGAGTTATACTAGCCTATAGCCTATAGGAGGCATAAATATTGCGGGATTTGTTGGATTATTTGAAAGCAACATTTTACGGAATCGTTGAAGATTTTGTTTTCCTTTTTTGGATGTTAGTTCAAATTTCAAAACTTTTCCCATGTCGGAACAAACAATCACAGTCTCTTTTGTTTTTTTAATAAGGAAGCCTAAATTTCTTGCTTTCTTATAAACGGATGTGTAGAGTGATCTTGCAAAGGAGCACCAAAAAAAAAAAAAAATGGACGGTCGAAGTTGGCCATGGAAGAGAAAGTCTTCGGACAAAGTCACGACCGAGAAACCAGTGGTTGGAAACGAGTCAACTAATGTTTGTTCTTTGTCCTACTTAGCATCTCTTGAAAATCAGGTAGCTTTGATTTACACAAAAGCTCTGCTTTTTAATATTGAGACTAAGTCTTTATTGAAGTCTTTCGTGTTTGATTGTGTGTCAGGAGAAGTGTAAAAACACAAACTATGTTCAGATACCTATGGATTCATACACGCATATGAGTAGAATGGAGGATCAGGTCAAATTGTTTGAGGGTGAAGTTAAGGATCTTAAAGAAAAACTCACTCTTGCACACTCAGAGATTAAGACTAAAGAATGTTTGATTCTTCAACATGCCAAAGTCGCCGAAGAAGCTGTTTCAGGTAAGGCTACAGACTATTCTGCTTCTTTAATTACCAGTAAGGCATGGGTGCACGAAAACCTAGATAAGTCTTCAAATGTTATCTAAGTGTTATGTAATGAGATTCAGGCTGTTTTTGAAATGTTCTGATTAGTAATTTTTCTTTAGGATGGGAGAAAGCGGATGCAGAAACTTTGGCACTCAAACGTCAACTTGAATCTGTTACACTCTTAAAGCTCACTGCAGAGGACCGAGCATCGCATTTGGATGATGCGCTGAAAGAGTGCACGAGGCAGATAAGGATTGTGAAAGACGAGAGTGACCAGAAGCTGCAAGATGTGGTTCTTGCTAAAACCACTCACTGGGACAAGATCAAGGCCGAGCTTGAAGGAAAGATTGATGAATTGAGCCAAGGACTTCACAGGGCAGCTTCAGACAACGCAGCACTCACTAGATCGTTGCAAGATAGATCAGAGATTATAGTAAGGATCAGAGAGGAATGGTCTAAAACTGAAGCTGATGTTGAAAAGCTGAAGACTAATATTCAGTTGGCTGAGAAGGAGATTAGTTCGCTGAAGTATGATGTTCATGTAGCTTCAAAAGAGCTGGAAATCCGTAACGAAGAGAAAAACATGAGTTTGAAGTCAGCGGAAATCGCAAACAAACAGCATCTGGAAGGAGTGAAAAAGATTGCAAAACTTGAAGCAGAGTGTCAAAGGTTAAGAGGGCTTCTGCGGAAGAAGCTTCCTGGTCCTGCTGCTATGGCTCAAATGAAGCTAGAAGTTGAAAGCTTAGGGCATGAGTTCACAGACCCTCGAGAACTGAGAAGCATAGCTCAAAATTCCTGTCACAGTGCAAAAGATACTTCTGCAGATCATAGGTGGGAAGAGTGCAAAAGAGAGAATGCACATCTCACAAGACGAACACTGGAAATGGAGGAGGAGATTCAGAAACTTAAAGAACTTCTCGCTGCCCGTAACAGTGAATTGCAGGTTTCGAGAAATGTATGCGCTAAGACTATTGGAAAGCTTAAGACTCTTGAAGGGCAGTTGCATATGTTTAACAGTGACAAGAATGCTCCAAAATCAAATAGCAGAAACCTTTCTGAAAGTCCATTCAGTGGTCATGATCATAACTATCCGCCTAGTGTCACCTCGGTATCTGAAGATGGATTTGATGAAGAAGGAAGTTCCTCTGAGTGTGGCCTAGCAACCTCAACAGATTCTCATAAAGTAAGAAAAGAAAATGCCGATGGTTCCTCAAAGTCTAGGATTTCTAACAGACTGGAGTTAATGGATGACTTCTTGGAGATTGAAAAATTAGCAGCCAGTGATCCAGATGGAGCAAACTCAGCTTCTAAATCTTCCGTTTGCAGTAGTAAATCTGTAGGCAAACAATTCGCTAGTAAGTCCAGTGAGCAAGATGATACAGCACTTGGTCAGCTGTTAATGGTTTTGCGTTCAAGAATCAGTAGGGAATTTGAATCTCAAGAGGGCATTAGCATTGAGAAAATCGTCGAAGCTACAAAACTTTCTATCCAAGAGATGCAAGGATCATCACCCAAACAACTCTCAAGTCTTCTGTTTGAAGTTTCTGATGAAACTCTGGAGAAACATGTTTTGTCATCTCAGGATATCGGAAACAGCAAAAAAATGCATAAGAACACCACGGAACAAGATTTGGAAGCAGCTGTTTCCAATATTTACAACTTCATAAGATCAACTACAAAGGAAGCAACACAAACTCAGGAGATGCATGGTAGTGGACTCAGTGAAAGCTTGGAGGATTTCTATTCATTGGTTAGTAAATATCGAACCGGTGAATCAAGCCTTTCTGACCTTATTCTAGAACTCTCCCACATTTCGGTTCTAGCTAGTAATCTGAACAATGGTGCTTTGGGTCTCAAGTACCATATTAAAGGGACCTCTGCAGCAGAGGTTACATTGCTAGAAAAAGAGGTTGAAGAGTCAGGTTCTGATCCTCTGGGAGACACATTTGCTAAGACAGAGGATCACCGTGTAGATAACTTGAGCAATGGTCATGAGTTGGAAGATTCATCATGCAAGAGCTTGTTGAAAGAGGTGGAAGAGCTAAAGTTGGAGAGAGAGAACATTGCATCAGAACTATCAAGATGCTTGCAGAATCTTGAAAGTACAAAAGCGGGGTTGGAAGAAAAGGAGAAGCTCATATCAGAGCTAAAAACGCAGCTTACTTCATCAGGGAATCTCCAAAGCTTGGCAGAAACTCAGCTCAAATGTGTGACTGAGTCATACAAATCGCTTGAACTCCGTACCAAAGATCTAGAAGCTCAAGTGAAAAGCTTGGAAGGAGATACAGAGAGACTTGAAATGGCTCTTTCCACAGAAAAGCAAGGCCATGAGGAGACTCTGGCTAAATGCAGAGACCTTCAAGAAAAAATGCAACGGTATACTACTGAAATCGATAAAAAAAATAGTTAAGTATTCCGTGATGCATAGTTTATTTTGCTAATTATTTACTTATACTGAAGGAACGAGACTTGCATAAAGTGTTCGTCACTCATTTCTCAATCCGGACTCCAACATAATCAGGTACATCTCTTATTAGTTTCTTCTTGATTCGCATCCGTTTTGTTTCATCTACTTTCTAACGCAACTAGCAATAATCCTCTTAACTAAAATCTACAATTTTGCTTGTTGCCAGGAGAAAGACATAGCATCTGCAACAGAAAAGCTTGCAGCTTGTCAAGTAACAATTCATTTACTCAGCCAACAGTTACAATCCTTGCAGCCTCAGAGCAACCAGAATCCCAAATCTCAATCCCTTGAAAAGAAGCTTCAACACCACAAAACATCAGAAGCAGCGCCAAACTCTGCAATAGATGATCGTCTCCATGATCATATCATTCAACCATCTCATTCTTTTAGACACACGGTGAACCCAACGGTCCACGCGATCATCAAGTCTAGCTCGGTTTCTTCATCTTCTAAAGAAGATAATGAGAAGCATACTCGTGGATTAGGCCGTTTCTTCTCCTCTAAACCGAAGAACAATGGACGTTAAAAAGCTAGGAGATAACAACCTCATTATCTTCTTGTTCGTTTGATTTTCATCTTCCTTCTTGATATGTGTATAAGTTTATATACGTTTTTTAGTATGTGAGAAGATAAGAGAACAGTGTTACTGTGTTAGTGAAGATCAATCTTTGTCTTGTTACAACAACAAGATCTCTTACAACACCAACTGAATTAACCGAAAATTGAACTAACCGGACCGTAACCGAGACTAAATTAGAGTTTTGCTACAAAACCGAACAGAAAACAAGTGATTTCTTTTTGTTTATATTCAATTCCTACATTTCTGCGAACCGGAACCGAGAGTCATTTTTGTCCATTTTTCATAAAATCTTAATGGGTAAACTCAAAGGGGAAAAAAACAGTTTCTGAGAAAGTTGTACATCAAATCAGTATATTTCATTTTTTTTTTGTAGCCGCAATATACTTTATACTTGTCAAATACTAGTAAATGTAGGCAGGTGGGAAATCATTACTAAATATTAAATGGTCTAGAATTCTAATTCTAACAGTTTTCGTTGGATCCATTTTTAAATTCGATTTCTCTCTTGACAGGGTTTTAATTGGGATGTGAATATCCATGAAAACGACTCTACGAGACAAATAAGGCAAGTATTTTCCAAAGAAGCATTGGTTTAAATTGCATATGAACAATAATTAAATATATATATGGGAACGTGAGGTCCATGCAACATTAAAACAATAATAATGCATGTAAGTGTCTAAACGGATTAAAAAAAAGAGAGAGAGGAACAAATAGTTTGAAAAAGGACAGAAAACAGATCAAACAGATAATGCTCATCAATGTCAAGCAGACAAGGTCTAAACTCAAAAGCAACTTGAGCGTATGGCCAAGCCAGTGTTTGTACAGACAAAATGATTTTCCTTCTTCTAAATGGTATTCAAAGTCTTTTTACTGAATATTTATATATTTGTTTGGTTTCCGTGCTTTTGAATATGATATTGGAATTTTATTTTGTGTCGTCTGGTAAGCTAATTTAAAACCAGAATATATGATAACTGTGTGCGCTTATTGGAATAAATCGCAGAATTCATATATATAATAATGAAGAGGAAGATAAGAGTCAAGATAGGAGAGGCATTGTGGCTTACATGTTTTGTCTTTCAAACAACAACTCATCTCTCCAAACCCATTTTCAAACACACACATTGTATATATATATATATATATATATCATATTAATTATTTTATTATATATATAATAAAATAATTAATTTTATCAAACAATAACGATCAATATGAGAACAAAAAATTTGTTCGAAAATTAGATATGTAGTAATTATGATAAAAGTTAGATGTACATGTCTTTTAGATAAAAGGGTCCTTATTTTGTGAATCTAAACTTTTTAGAAATGTTATTTTTAAACTAAACCTTTTTATTGATTGAAACCCTATGATATTCTTGGTTTTGATATATGTCATATTTTCATTTCAAAAAACAAATGACATATCTAGTGTATATATTTTTTTTCCTTTCCCAATCGCATGTTTATAAGAATGTAGACTGTTTCGCCGAACATGTTTATGAAATTAAAATCTACCAATTAACAGCCACTTTGGAAAAATCTTAGAAAGATGATCTGAATTGAACTACCAGACGTTAGAAGCATTTGAAGTTTTTTTTTTTTTTGCTATATAAGCTACAAATAAAGAAATTTGAGCATGCAAAAATAGAAGAATGTTGTTAGCGAAAAAACATATATATTTCAAATTTCTTTCTCTGTTATGCTCAGTTCAACTGCCAAATAATGCTAATACAGTTATACGTATATTGACAAATCCTCTTGAAGGCGGCCTTAAGAAAATATGAGTTTTATGATTGAAAGTAAAACAAAAAGAAGAAACTAGACAAATGGAACATATATGATAATACCATATGAAAACGACTCAAAAGCAATTATCGAACCCCACTCAAACAGAGACACTATACTATATGGACTTGGGATCGATCATATCTATTAGTTTGATTTTCTCGGGGGTCAAAATCTATTATTTCATCATTAAAGTATTAATTTTTTGTTTACTCGAAGAAAAGGTTGTATCGACATATCTAGACTAATTTTGTTCCCATACATTAAAAATCGATTCATAACATTAGCTATAGAATTTCCCTCTGGTTTAAACAATTCTTTCCTTTGTGCAACTTGGTTAACCAAAAAAAAAAACTTGGTTAACCAATCAAAAACAAACAAAAATGCAAAGATAACCGATAGGATATATAAATACATCGATTAAATTTTCAAATATTGTTTTTACTTTTAAGAATCTCAACCAGGCCTTAAGTAACTGTGTAGCCGTACTGAATACTTCAATTTCTATGTTTCATGAATCAAATTCCAAAAAAAAAAAAAAAAATTAGAGAAGAGAGTCGTGTTTAACATTTGGAGTAAAATCATGGTCTATAGCGAAGAGTTTGGTGATAATGGTTCGATATATTGATCATTCTTTTGAATACACTTATGGTTGTGTAACCGATCATTACGCTTTACCCATATGTTGTAGAAATAAGATTGGAACCACATATGGTAAATCGTTGATGTTTGGCCAAATATGGTCGATAGACCGTACGTTAAAAAATATTTTCTGAGAGAGTATCATCAGTTTTGCGAGTATACTGAGTATTGTACTATTGTTTATTTTTCATATGTGTTTGTTTTGATATGTTGTATTTTATTTTTTAATTTCTTTTAGGTGAAAAAAATTATTTGGTGACACAGATCATTTACTTCAGATATACAATCGACAGAAAACACACAATGCAGTTGTTGTTTTTTTTTTCTTTCTTTTTGACGTAATACAGTTGTCATACATCGCTTTTAGTTATTTTTTTTTTATGTTTGCATATATAGAACTAAAAATAAAAACTGGCAGTCAAAATCAAAATATTTATTTTTATCAAAGTAACTTAAAAGCGCGGAGGTTAAAAAAATTCCCGAAAATGTTATTTAATATATAAATTAAAATTAATTTTAACAATTGTAGACATTTAAAAAAAAAAATCATAAAAAACTGTATAATATAATTGGTTATACAGACTTTCAATAATGTAAACATTTCTTGATTCAACAAACCCTGAAACATTCCCTTTTATATTATTAAGGGAATAGTCGAATAGTATTTTCTACTGGATTTTTAATCAGTCATTCTTTTGTAACATAATGTTCAAAATTTTGAAATTTTATATTGTAGAAACAAGATAATAACAGCTCATATAGTGGGACTAAATAAAATTTCTTGATTCAAAATTAATACAATTAAACTAGCTATTCCTCTCAAAAACCAACGGGCAACAATACACGTTGACTTGAGGGAAAAGTCGCCCACCCAAACTAATATACAAAATATTCAAAATAAAATAGAAAGAAGCCAGGGAAAATATATATAAGAAGAAAATAAAAAGAAAAAATCGCAGGAGAGTGGTTAATTCAAAAACTGTTAGATATATTAATATAGCCACAAATCTTGAGTCGATGCTTAACGCGATCCCCGCCATTTGCTTCCGTCTTCTTAGCAAAGAAAAAACCTAAATAATATATATATATATATATATATATATATCCTTATTTCTTGTTTCTTGGTTTTCTTGATAATAACTTTGATGCTTCGATCTTCCAAGAGTCTAGAGTAGTGTAACAATGTGATTAAACCTTTAAGAACCATAAAGGGGATCATAATCTTGAGAGATGACCCATTGAGCTAAGTCAGTCTCTTTGGAGATCGATATCTATCTGAACATGGAGATGAGAGATCGAAAGACGACTTCATCACAAGGGATAGTGAGACCCATGTCGTGCTCGAACCCGAACTCTTCCTCGGCTAGTTGGAGAAGTGTCTGAAACTCAGGATGAGCTAGCCATGAGATTGGTATCACATAGCGACTCCGGTGTTGACCAACGTAGACCGGAAAGTGACCTTTTGGCACATCGTTGAAGTAGCAATTACCTTGATTCTTCTTTCCAAGACTTGAGCATCTCTTCAATATTTTCTTTATAGATGCTGCTTGAGACGCTGCCACTTTGTTCGACTTTCTTATCGCCATGATTGGAGCTTATTGAAACCTAATAACTTTGCTGGAGAGAGAGAGAGAGAGAGAAAGAGAGAGAGTTTGGTATGTTTGAAGAAAAGTGTGGATGTGAAGGTGGTGGGGAGGAATATGGAGGGGTATTTAAGGGCTCAATGAGAGAGAAAACTAGAAGCCTTTTATTAAATTAATAAGAAAAATCACATATACTTTTTACATAGATTTTTTAGGTTTACTTATGACTTTTTAAAAGATTTGTGACTAGGTTATATGTATAAATTATATACACACTAACGACTAATTCATGCAGAATCACATGAAGTGTTTTCCTTCGTATGATAATCATATTAATGCAAAGCAAACCCGCGTAAACATATACAGTACACGTAAATTATAAATTTAAATCTCATCAAACCCCAATCCTTTTTTTATTGGTACATTAAATCCCATCAAATCTAAACACTTTTTGATTAACACTCACTGAACGTCAACTATTTCTATGGTTTTTTTTTTTGGTCGAACAACTATTTCTATGGTTAGAATTCTTTTTTTTTTACAAGCCCACTCTCGGTATATTGCCCAGAGTAATAAAGTGGTCCAAAATTACTGTTTTGGCTTCAATGGAGAATTATTTAAACTTAGGACTAATCCCCCAAAAAATTTCTATACCACTATATCAATTCATAAAAAAGCATAAATATAGAATATTTTAATAATAATTTCATGTTATTATGAAAGCAAATATCATGTGGGATGTAGGAAACATGCAAGGGCAAATTTAGAGACAAAGCCATAAGGGAAAGAGGGGGGAAAATATGTATACAAAATAAAATCGGAAGGTCTTATAAATAAGGTAGGGACTATAACATTGCCTACATTGTCTCCCTTTTGTGTTTTTATTTAGACACAACTCTACTAATCAATACGAGTAGTGTCCGTTTTCTCTTCACCTCTTTACACTCTACTTCAGATTTTTTTGTCTCTACTGAAACTTCCAATTTTTATTACAACTAATTTATATATAAATTAATCAAAGGAAAAAAAAATAGTATGGCCGTTAGTATATATTTATACCCGTTTTGTCATTAATTGATTCCGTTGCAAAGGGATTACGGACGAGTATAATGGTATGTGAAGTGAACAAAAGTACGTACTTGCAAGGTCACATGTCTTTTGCTACAACTAGAGTTGCCAACACTTTAATTTAATGCCCCATCCTTTTTCTTTTATTCTTGTAAAAATTTTATGTGAAAAAAATAACAAAAAATTGTTGTAGATCGGGGATTTTATATTTTTCTTGGTGGAAGTCGATCGACCATTTTTAATTGAGTACATATTGGTTATTGCAAAATATGTTGTGAAATCGCAAGTAAATAATGATGAATTCGTAAAACGTTAAACAAAGGGAGTATCCCTCTCCATCCCTCGGGTGTGAGTGTGAGTTTCCGGTTCGGCCTCCTGAGAAAGATTGACCTATAACGGATTAATGTGCATTCAGATTTTAAGTTTTAAGTAACAAGATTCACATGGCAGTTATATCTGATGATAGATCTGGATTAAAAATAAAAATGTCCGCCACCCAAGCAAAATAAGTACAATTTATATAGTATAGTGTAAGTACCTTTCGGAACTACTGTAGATATTCACAACTAACATCAGTTTAAAGAGACATTAACCACATATAGTTGTTTTTTTCTTCTAAATGACTAGAGGCCGGAAATTGAGATGTGGAAATAGTTTACACAAATAATTTGTCTTTCAGCCATCAATTATATTAATTATAAAATAAACCTAACATGTTAGTTTGTTTATCAAATATAAACAATTTTGGGGTAATTTGGAAATTAATTAGTGTATGTACTATAAATAACTATCAAATTAGTTTTTTTTTCGAAATAATATATAATAAAACGGGGAAAGAAATAGCTAAGCAATATAATAAATCGTCACCATGTGAAAATTTGAAAATGAAAACAAATGCTTAGGTTGGAACCTAATCTTTTGTTTAATTGATAGTATCAAATCCATGCAAGTTCCCATCTCATTCCTTCGATGCCTTGTGTTCCACGTACTTCTTTCCTTTTTGTTTAGCTTTTTGTTTTCTCGCTTTATCGTTTTCCACCTCATTTCAGTGTGATGAATATCAATCAGCAATTCAGCATCATCAAACATTTTCGAATTGGCTTTGTGATAAATCCAATCTAATTAATTGCAAAATTTCCGTGGTAGTAACCCCATATCGTGTATACTTGATAACCAAAAAAGGAAAACTTTTAAAGGTGCTTGAAAAGGACCCTTTGGCAGTTTCTACACTGATTTTGTCATCTAGATCGACCTTGTATATAAAAAAAAAATCACAGGAATTTTCGCAAGTTATTTGTTTGTTCAGTTTGCATAGTTTATTATTATTTTTCTTTCACAAAATTATGCAAACTGAACAAACAAATAACTGTTCCCGTATAGTTGTGATTGTAGAACATTTATTATAGAGATGTAAAATGTAAATTTGTTAGGGTATATGACCGTATGGGTAATCAAGAAGTAGCCAATACTTTCTTCTTAATTCTGCTTATTCAAACAAAACAATATGGTACTTGAAATATATATAGATCAATATGGTTAGTGCCATCGATGGACCCTTTTAACGTTTTCGTTAAAGAAATATGAAATAAGAGGTGCATATTGTTACAGGCGGTACATCTCACATTCAACAAATAAATACACCATATATTGATTAGAAAATCGGATGAACAAATGAAAATTTACGATAAGACTAGTCGTTGATTATTTCAACTAGTAAAGTTACACAGCAAGACGTTTGATTAACATTGGTAACGATTATATTTATACTGTGTAACAAGTTCTTGGACAATATATTTTTCTTAAGATTTGTTTTCAATTTTCAGTGTATTTGTTTTCAGTTTTCAGTGTATTTTTAGGATTCGTTTTGTTTATAAGAATTTAGGATATTTCAAGAAATAACGACAAAAAGAAATAAGAAAGAAGATCTCTCTGTCGACAAATGAGAAAAGAGGTTAAGAAATTGGATTCAACTGAAACAATAATTAGGAAAGGGATAGAACTGAGTTTGTATCCTTGTTAAAATTATATGAAAAACGTTAAAAATGACACTGTTGGTGGAAAGGGAAGAGAGGAGAAAAGTAAAAACTAAACCCGAAACGTGGAAGGTGAGAATTTGTCGTATTTATAGAACATATATATACTATAAAATAAGGAAAACAAAATTAGGAGACGGTGTGTGTAGGGACAAAAGGAGAAGGAGACAATGAGAGAATTAATCAGATGGAAATGAAAGGAACAATACTTGGCTGTCCTGAAATGGCGCTTCTGCTGTGGTTATAACTTTGTAGACATGATCCCTCACACTCTTCATTATCCCCACACCCAATTCATCATCCTCCTCCTCATCATCATCATCGTCATCGATCGTAACCCACTTTTCCACAACAATAATTCTCTGAATTGGCGCTTCTGTTGTAGTTATAAGTTATACCCTAACCTTTTGTATTCGTGTTACCGGCAATCAGTAATTAATTAGGTAGGATAAGCAACCGGCTAATCAACATCTCAAGTTGTAATTACCAATTTAGTATAACATATAAATTAACAGGAAAAATAAATGTATATTTATTTTGGTTTCTCTCTACCACTTTGTTCACCATATATCTTTTTTCTGTAGTTTTTAACTTGTTCGCTTATATATTTTGGTTATTAATTTCTATAGGTATTTATGTTACATGTTAAATTTATGTGTTTTCTTTCAAAACAAAATATCACATTTTATTATTTTTTTTTATCAAACATTGTTTGAAAAGAATATTCATTATAATCGCATACGGAAAATGAAAGTTAAGATATGTGGTGACATTCACAAATTACTATTCCATTTTTTGTTTGGTAAGTATTTTTTTAACAATAATTTGCCCGTAAGTATTTCTTAACAAATATTTGATAAACCATTGTTTATTTATATTTATTTTCTTCAACGTGAAAATTAATATGCTAAAGGCAAAACGCAAATATTTTCATTTGAAACAGTCATGCTGAATAGCTGAATTTTGTGATCTTAAAACTGAATTTTGAATCTTGATCATATTTTTAATACCATCGACAGTACGTACATGTCCACGACAAAAATAATGTTGCACTCAAACCTGTAAAGTCCAGTACAATAGAGATTGATTTTGCAATATGCAAGGTTGGTATGATGTGATGTAGTTACAAAGCCAAGTCACCTATCAGATTTTTATTGAAATTCAAAAACTTTAAAATGGACAGCTTCTAACGACAAAAATGCATAAAGAATATTTGAGAGATCTTTCATTTTAAAAAGATATTATAAAGATGTTATAAAGAAATATATTTAAGATAAAAGATTTTTAAAAATCAGTTAAAATTTCCTCAGTTTTCCTACTAATTTAATTTATACTCCAATAGTTAAATGGATAAACTGCATCAAAAGATATTAGAATTCAGTTATTTTTTTATTATAAAAATAAGTTCTTCCCCCAATTAGTTTTTCCTACAAGTTCATCTTCCAATCTAAAACTTATAAAAGGGACAGCTCTTAAGACAAAATGCATAAAAAAATCATGGAATAATACCTTAACCACCAATGGAAGAAATTAACATTAAAAAAAAGAAAAAAATATATTTAGATGTTAAACAAATATATTAATGTCTGCTAACTCCACATATAAGTACAACAACAAAAGAGAGTAACAGAAGAGTTGCTCATATAATCCTTAAACACTGTAGGATCCATTGTCTGCAAAAAATATAATATGACTCTCCCATGTGGCACTTACCTTCCAACAACAACTCAGCAAAGTCTTTAGCACCACAAGCAGACAAATAATCCTCCAATCAAATCTGAGCCACAATTTTGATTTGTGGATAATTTATGACGAGAGAAGTTTTTTTTTTCTCCCAACATCATGTTCTAAGGCCACTAGAGTAGAACATTGTTTTCTGTCTTTCGGCTGATTACAACTCTTTGCAGTTTCTATGTCACATTTGATGTGAGCCTCTCTGATAACTGTCAGTGTCACAATCTGTATTTTCCAGTTTATCCTTTTTTAGGAGAAGTGTTTTGTGTTTATTCTTCCAGATCTAGAGAGACTAAAGAAGTCATTTCATGGTTTTTCCTGTTTGTAATATGCCTAAAATTGGTGGATACTCTCATGTTCTGTGATTGGAAATGACCAAATGAGAAATGATTTATTACATTATGGTACAGGAGGCAATGCCCGTCCATGTCACAATAATGGAAGAATTTGATCCTTTCTACTTGTGTTGTTCCACTGATTTTCTATTACAACGAAAACATGATTGGTTCGACGACCAGTGGAAAGTTGGTTCTTATAATTTGGCTCCAAAAAGATAGAAGAAGATATGCGCAACTTGACTACCAAGTCATACATGTAATATTCATGAATCTAAGTTTGACAATTTTGAAGCATGATTGTAAGTATGACAATAGAGTTCTGAACAGCTTTTAAGCGTAAGCGCATATACTTGCATTTGAAACAGTCCAGGTTGAAAGAAAGTTGAGTTATGTGATCTTGAGCCTGTATCCTTTTAGATATGATTTATGCCTAATAGTTTAGAATAAGTTTATCAATATAACTAAATTTCAAATTCAAAATATATCCTAAAAAACAAAATTATATTCACAAAAGCCCGTAGGCGACTATTTCTTTTTTTCTTAACATGGGCACGGCCCTGATAATTAGATGTTTGAAGCATTCAAAGCCATGACTTTGCATTGTTCATTTAAGGCCAGAAGCTGAGCTTCTTTCTTGTCAAGAAGAGCGGTTAGCTTCACGTTCTCTTCCATTAGCTTTTGAACCTCTACCTCTTTCTGCGCTTTCTCGCCTTCCAGTTGCGTCGACCTAGCCACCAACCTGCTTTCCAAATACAACATATATGAGAATTGATTCAGTAATGTTGAAAAATAACAGTTGAATTTATGTCTCAGTCACTGAAATCAGGCGTCAACCGCTTGCTCTTACCGAGTTCCCCTCATGAAGCTATCATAGACATTGATTTACATACTTTGTACCTTTGTAAATGAACAATCACAAGCCTGTCTCATAATCTACATAAATCAGCTACCAAGTTGCATACAAAAGAGATGAGACTGACCGTGCTTCGATGATTTCAAGTTGCCGCTCAGATGAAGCAAGTGTTTCTCTAACACTGGTGGAAGTATTGACGTAATTTCTAAGTGACTCACACTCTGCCTTCACACGACGTAACTCCTCTTCATTTTCCACAGCTTTTTCTCTATCTCTCCTACTATCTTCAACTAGTTTCTTAATTATCTCCACTGTTTCGTCTAGAACAGCTTTATTCCCACGTACGATTTCTTTCATCTCTTCTAGCCTCAAGGACAAATTCTCGATTTGGACTGTCTTCCTTCGAATTTCTTCCTCGCCTATAACTACCCTCTCCTTTTGAAAAGACGTTTCAGATTCTGCCGCGGTGACCCTCCTCAAAAGAGACTCCAGCACATCAGTAACCATCTGAATGGATTGGAGCATCTTCCAAGTATAAGCTCCACCCTCTATAACCAAGGAATCCTGGTTCATGCTAGTTCCAGTCAGTGTATCTTCACCTGGATTGTGAAAAGCCAGAAGATTAATGTCCTTAGCCACTTCAGAGACTGAGCTGTAATCTTCTAGTTCAAGCTGTTCAGCACCGAGTGACAGATGGGAAATACCAGGAACGGTCAAGATTCTAGCTTTTGATCTCAAATAGCGCAAGCTTGCTGCAGCTGACTTGACCCTACCTAATAGAACACCTAATTCGTCTCGTGCATCTTCCTCTGAACCCTCCTCAAGTGAAGCATGGAAATCTACATGGTCAGCTTGTAAATTATCTACACGCAGCTGACCAGATTTCATCTCGTGATTCCACATCTCAAGGGCTTCTTCTGATAATGAATCCTGTGCACTAGTATCCGCGTTACCAGCCATTTCCAAAATCTTTGTCCAAAAACTAAATAAGAAGAAGAACTATTCTTCCTACAATAATATAAAGGAAGAAGCTTTAGAATCCAAACTAAATCCAAAAATCAACATCTAGTCTAGTTAAGGGCAGAACCAACTTGGGTTGACCTAAAAATGTAGAATATATAAATATCACACTTAGGCTCATGATAATAATGTCTTAAGTCGCTTGTTGACTGAGCAAGGATAATGATGATTGAGATGAAGATCAAGACAACAACAACAGCTAAAAACTAAATAAAAAACAGCTACATAAGCCAAATGATATTAGAGCAACAACAAATATACATAACCTTTTTCAGCTTCCATAAATTTTGAAACAATTTGAAATGTCTCGGAAACGATAACTGAGCATGAATATCCACAAACTATGATGATGAAGACTCGATGATCAGTGGTTTTGATTGGGAGGCGAGTGGTAAAAAAAAAAAAACAAGCACGAAACTCAAACAGTATTAACACTAGAGTTGAACAAATTATATTAAAAAAACTACTGAACGAAATGATAAGGAGAAACGCAGAGAGAAGCTACAAATTGCTGAAGAGAAACCGTATAATACTTGGGAATTTCAAAACCGATCGAGAAGTAGTAAGCACGAATCTAGAAACTCGATTGAGCAAATTGAAGGCACAGATTAGAAAGGATCTTTACGATTTCAAGAAGAGAAACGTTGGGGCTACTTGCTCCGGCTTGATCCAGTCCGTCGCCGATTGACAGAGACTTAGAGAGATTGTGAGGAGAGGAACCAGTTGTCTGAATTTCGAGTTGAGAAATCCGAAACTTTTTCTCGAATAATTAACGGGCTTTAATTAAAGGGCTTCAAATAGGCCCATATGAACCATGACAAAAAGGCCCATATGAATCAAAAGTCTGTCGGCGTGTTGTAAGTAATTACAAAACTACCCTATTGGGGTGAATGCGATAAAAGCCGCCCTAAACTTTACCGGAAATCGCAATCATTGAAGCAAAAGACTCAAAAGAGCACCAAAAGTAAACGAACCTTAGTTCAGTCCGTACAAACCGAAACTCTGTTTGTGTACGGAACGCACAGAGATTTCGATTGGTGTGGATTAAGAGAATGGAGCCAATTGACAAAGAAGACCCTTTTCTACGCAAGTATAAGCCATCGGATCTTAAGATTGCTTCGGAATTTCTAACGACTTGGCTGCCTTTCTTATCTAGAGATCTCTGCCAAGACTGCGTGCTTGTTCTTTCCGATCGAATCCATTCTCTCGACTTCGGTTAAGATTTTTTCTTTTCCCCCTCTGTTCAACGAAAATTTCGATAATTCGAGTGAGAAACAGAGAATTTTAGTTGCATTGTGCTTGATTTTTCTGATCGTTGTTCTGATAATTAGGCTTGATAACATACACCTATAAAGGACGCATTTTTCAACTAATCGATAGTATATAGATGATTAAGGAATTAAGCTATCTTCTTGAGATTTCTATATTGGGATTTCCCATCATCTTAAAGTTGAATTTAACCCAAAAAAAATCATCTTAAAGTTGTGTTCTTTCCTTGTTACAGAGCATTGTAGTAACATAGAGACGGCTACTGGAGATGATAAGTCGATTGTGAAAGATATGGAACCTGAAGTAACTGATGTGAAGTCCTCCTCTAAATCAAATGCTTATGAGACGGCGAGTCCTAAAATGTCTTGGGCTGATATGGCACAAGAGAATGATATGACACAAGATAATGGGCTCGAGGAGGAAGAAGAAGGTAAGCAGAGTGAACCAAGTGCACAAGACGTTGATGCGAGTCATTACAATGGAGACTCGATGAAGACTCATGGGAAGCGTCAATTGTCTAGGGAGGAAAGAGAGCAATATCGGTTTATGAATGTAAAGAGAGTGAAAGTGTTTACTTGCTTTGAGGAAGTTAAAGGAAAACGCGTTAATATCCTCGAGGGGCTTGAGTTGCATACCGGTGTTTTTAGCGCGGTGGAGCAGAGAAGGATCGTTGATCATGTCTATGAGCTACAAGAAAAGGGTCGAAAAGGAGAACTTCAAGGTTCGTTTCTTGCATAAATCTGAAATTTGGAAACTTTATAATGTAACTTATCTAAATTTCGGTAAAAAGCTGAGAAATACATTGAGGAAAACGGAGCGTTTTGCTAAGCAGGCGAAAATTTTGGCGACTAGGGTTTAGTGAATTTCTGCTCACGAAAGCGGCCGGCGTTGATGTCGGTGGCTTCGACGGAGGGCTCACTACCTCCGGGAGGAACTCCGGTGGATCGGGAAGTGATAGGAAGTGATGGAAAACAGAGTGACGTACCAAAAGAAGCAGATATGGTTTTGAATGAACAAGTGATCGAGAAAGAGGAACTAAGTGTTGTAGGGCAACAGAAGAAATCGGGATCGTGGGCAGGGGTGGTGCAATCGAATCAAAAAATGCATCGATATGAATACAAGGTTGATGACGTGAATGGAGTGCCCACTATCAAGGTTCCAAAAGAAGTTGTGGAGAACTCGCCGCCACTATGGGAAACTTTACTGGTTGGAAAATTTCTTGATACAGCCCCTTACATTGGAAAAATTCATGTGCTCGTAAACAGGATCTGGCCCCTATCGGATAAATCTGTGAAGATCGATGTTTTTGTTGTTGACAAAACCACAGTTAAATTTAGAATTAAGGATGAGGTGGTCAGAAACAGAGTTTTAAAAAGGAGAATGTGGAATTTGTGCAATGTGCCGAGTTTGTTTTCAAAAATTGGAGTCCTATTGCGGAAGAAGGTGCAAACCCGAGCTGCAATCTATTTCCATTATGGGTTAAGGTCAAGAATGTGCCCCGTTCCCATGTTTGCGTGGAAAGGGTTATCTTTTTTGACAAGCCCAATTGGTGCACCGAAGAGTCTACATCCTGAAAACAGAGTTGTGTACAAGCTTTGAAGAAGCAAAGGTGTTTTGTGGAGGCAGATTTAACGAAGGAACTCCCAAAATGCTATACATTTGATATGGAAAATGGTGAACAGGTGCTGGTGCAATATGAATATCCTTGGCTACCATCAAAGTGTAATGGATGTGGAAAATGGGGACACAAGACAGAAGAATGCATTTCTAAACCTAGCGTGGGGGGTGGATCACCAAAGAAAAATATTCCTAAAGGGCCTATCTGGGTTGAAAAAGTGGCGAAGGACACATGCTCGACATCAACTGAACAAATAGAGAGATTGAAACAGGTTCAGACGGGGACCAATGAGAATGTGATACAGAGTATGGAAAAGGGAGAGGGAGAGGAAGATGAAGGGGGCAAATGGAGTACACCACCGAATCCGGTAAAATCACCCGCAAAGGTGACAAAAGACTCCAAGTATGGAGAGGTCAGTATTCTCAGTTCTCGATTTGAGGCTCTTAGTGGTATGGAGGATGAAGCAGGGGACATTAGAGAAGAGAATTTGGAAGAGGGGGAAGTGGAAATCAGTTCGGAACAGAAAGAAACAGAGAGCACGACTGTAGCGACTGTAGTGACTGTTTCGGCTGAGTCGGATCCGGGCAAAGAATGCTCCGCTATCCCAAAATTTTCGGAGCTGGGGACAAGGCAATCTCTCAGACTTGCCAGTAAAGAGGTCCAGAGACCAATGACAAAGGATATACAGTTGAATGCTAAGGAAGCTCGAGGCATTCACGGCAAAAGTCACTCACGCAAATCAAATTAATATGTCGGGTTTCTTCTGGAATATGAGGGGATTCAATAAAAGGAGTAAGCATACAGTTGTGAAGGATTGGATAAAGCAGAGAGGATTTGATTTTGGGTGTCTTATAGAAACAAAGGTTAAGGAAACAAAGGCAAAGAAGGTGGTTGATGAAGTGTTTAGAGATTGGTCCTGCATTACTAACTATGAGCACCATAGGCTTGGCCGGCTATGGGTCGTCTGGAACCAAAATGTCTGTGTGACACCTCTGTTTAAAACATCACAAATGATCTCATGTTCGATTCAGATACAGGGTATGGAGGAGCCAGTGCTGATTTCTTTTATCTATGCTTCCAATTCAGTGGAAGAGAGGAAAAAGTTATGGGATGATTTAAAACTTCATCATGATTCTCCTATGTTCCAAGGCAAAGGTTGGCTGATTTGTGGAGATTTTAATGAGATTCTTGAGGGGGATGAGCACTCCTTATTTGATACCTCTCCAACAATTCCTGCTGGTATGAGGGATTTTCAAGATCTAGTAAGCTACTGTGAACTTATAGATTTGAGCTACCATGGTCCCAAGTTTACTTGGTGTAATAAGCGAGTGGAAGGAATGATAAGCAAGAAGCTTGACAGAGTATTAGTAAACCAAGCATGGATATCACGATTTATACAATCTTATTGTGTTTTTGAATCGGGTGGATGCTCTGATCACGCTAGATGTAGACTCTATATAAAGGAGGCAGAGGCAAAGGGTAGAAGGCCTTTCAAGTTTACAAACGCCATCAGTTCTTTCCCAGGGTTTAGGGACCAGATTCAGGAGGAGTGGAGCTCGTCGCCTCCTCTTTACCACTCCACATCGGCGCTTCATCGATTCACTAAAAAGCTGAAGGATCTCAAACCAAAAATCAGGAGTATGGGAAAACAAATGCTTAGTGATATTACTAAAAGAAGTAAAGAAGCTTACAAAATCCTTTGTGAATACCAGCAAGAAACGATGCTTCATCCCACTACAGGAGCTATGGAAGCTGAACGCCGAGCCTATGAAAAGTGGAGTAGATTGGCAGAGATTGAGGAAAAGTATTTGCGACAGAAGGCAAAGCTGTTCTGGTTGAAAGTGGGGGATCAAAACAATAAGGTTTTTCACTTGGCAGCAAAGATAAGAGAAACAAGGAACAATATCAGAGAAATTATTTGCCCGGATGGATCTATAGTCTCTGATGCTGAGGGTATTAAGAGTGAAGCAGAGCGCCACTTCTCTGAATTTATGAGTCAGACGCTAAATGATTTTCAACCGTGGCAAGTAGAGGAGCTGCGAGAGCTGCTTGAGTTTCAATGTAGCGATGAGGATCACCAATTACTTCTCCAGGAAGTGTCTGATGAAGAGGTTAAAACTGTCTTGTTCAAAATGCCAAAGGAAAAATCCCCAGGCCCTGATGGTTATACCCAAGAATTTTTTAAAGAAACTTGGCCTATAGTGGGAAAGGATTTGGTGGTAGCGGTTCAATCTTTTTTTAAGCTTGGTTTTCTTCCCAAAGGTGCAAATTCGACGATCTTAGCATTGATTCCAAAGAAGAAGGAGGCTAAGACGATGAAAGATTACAAACCAATCTCATGTTGTAATGTAATCTACAAAATCATATCAAAGATTCTTGCAAACAGGCTTAAAGTTGTGCTTCCGAAGTTCATCGCCCCTAATCAATCAGCATTTGTGAAAGATCGTCTGTTAATGGAAAATCTACTCCTTGCTACGGAGCTGGTCAAGGACTATCATAAAGAAACCATTACTCCAAGATGTGCTATGAAAATAGACATATCCAAAGCATTTGATTCAGTTCAATGGAGGTTTCTGCTGAATACTCTCAAGGCTTTGAACATCCCAGAAAAATATGTTCATTGGATCGATTTATGTATCTCCACTGCATCCTTTTCAGTGCAAGTAAATGGTGAGCTTGCTGGGTATTTTGGAAGCAAGAGAGGACTTAGGCAAGGATGCTCTCTCTCTCCATACCTCTTTGTTATATGTATGAATGTTCTGTCAAAAAAACTGGATAAAGCAGCTTTGGAAGGAAAGTTTGGTTATCATCCTACTTGTCAAGAGCTACAGCTTACCCACTTATGTTTTGCTGATGATCTAATGGTATTTGTGGATGGGAATAAGAGATCGGTGGAAGGTGTTTTGGAGGTTTTTGATGATTTTGCTATCCACTCTGGTTTGCATATAAGCTTGGAGAAATCAACCATCTACATGGCTGGTATTGAGAATGTAGAAAAGGAAGCTATTCTTGAACAGTTTCCGTTTGAGTCAGGAAATCTCCCAGTGCGATACCTTGGGCTCCCACTTCTAACAAGGAGAATGACATCAGCTGACTACTTACCGCTTATTGAAAAGATCAGGTCTCAGATTACTTCTTGGTCTGCGAGACCTTTATCATTTGGTGGCAGGCTTCAGCTTCTGAACTCAGTCGTTTTCAGCCTCACAAACTTCTGGATATCAGCATTTAGGCTTCCAAAATCGTGTATACAGGAGATAGACAAGCTGTGTTCAGCTTTCTTATGGTCAGGGCCAGCTTTAAACTCGAGAAAAACAAAAGTTGCTTGGTCGGTGGTTACCACTCCAAAGAGAGAAGGAGGTCTCGGACTGAAATCTTTGGAGGTGGCTAATAAGGTCAGTGTGCTCAAAATTATTTGGAGGCTTTTGTCTAAGAAATCCTTATGGGTAGATTGGGTGAAGCAACATTTAATAAGAGGGGGTTCTTTCTGGTCAGTAACGGAGAACTCGGTGAGGGGATCGTGGATATGGAAGAAACTATTGAAATACAGAGCTGTGGCAAAAACTCTTTATAAATGGGATTTGAAAAATGGATACTCTATTTCATTCTGGTTTGACGAGTGGAGCTCAATGGGTTGTCTTTTTGATATATTTGGTTCGCGAGGATGCATAGACCTGGGCGTATCTCTGAACGCCACGTTGGGCAGTATATTAGACAGAACTAGAATCAGAAGACACCGATACCCACTTCTGAGACAGGTTGAAGATGAGCTTGTTGAAGCTAAGAGAAATAGAATGGTGGATGAAGAGGATGTTGCACTCTGGAAGAACAAAACCGGTCTTTACACTAGTCGATTCCTTACCAAAGACACTCTGGGGAACTTGAGGTCTCCAAATCCTGATTGGGAAGCTCACAAAGCTATCTGGTTCCAGTTTGCCACGCCAAAGTATGCTTTTGTGACTTGGCTTGCAGCTCGTAACAGACTAGAAACAGGGGAAAGAATGGAGAGATGGAACATAAATGTTAACCTGGGATGCTCTTTCTGCACGGAACCACGAGAAACTCGTGAGCACCTATTTTTTAGCTGCCCCTTTACAAGCCTGATATGGGAGAAGCTGGTAAAGGGAATTCAAGGCACCAACTATACGAGCAATTGGCAGAGTATTCTCGCCATTCTGATGACGATGGGGACGAAGGATTCACGATCTTTCATTGTGAAGTATGCATTTCAGATGGCAATACATTCAATTTAGAGGGAGAGAAATCGGCGAAGACATGGAGAGGACCACTGTACGAATGAACAACTTCTGAAAACAATGGATGTCATCATGAGAAACAGGCTCAGCACAATCAGATTGCAAGGGAAACATCAGTTTGAAGATGGTGTATGAGTGTGGTTTGCCACAAAAGCTTCTTAGATAAATCAGAAATCTTATGTTATTGAAAAAGTAGAACTTTTATCATTAAAAGTCCATGTAAAAAGTCTTTCTTTTTTTAATATAATTTAACATATTATTCAAAAAAAAAAAAAAAAAAACTTATCTAAATTTCGTTTTGTTTCCATGTTTAGAACGTACTTTTACTGCTCCGCGTAAGTGGAAGAGAGGCAAAGGACGAGTTACTATTCAATTTGGATGCTGTTATAACTATGCAATAGTAAGTGACTGTTTCTTCTTCTTGTTTTCTTTCTTTCTTTGACATTTGATCACTTTTTGTGAATGTGAAGAGAGTTTTTTTTGGGTTTGTGATTTGGTTAAGGACAAAGCAGGAAACCCACCAGGAATCCTTCAACGCGTAGAGGTTGATCCAATACCTTCTCTTTTCAAAGTAATAATAAGAAGGTTGATTGGGTGGCATGTACTTCCTCCAACTTGTGTACCTGATAGTTGTATCGTTAACATATACGACGAAGGAGATTGCATACCTCCACATATCGATAACCATGACTTCCTCCGCCCTTTCTGCACAATCTCATTCCTCAGTGAATGCGATATACTCTTTGGTTCAAATCTCAAAAGCGTAGGAGATGGTGAATTCTCCGGTTCATACTCTATACCACTTCCCGTCGGGTAAAAGCTAGCACTCTATACGTTTGCATAGTTTACTCTCCTTTTGATTTTTTCCTTCGTTCGCTTGCTTAAGAGTGTTTTCACTTTTCTCTTTTCAGATCAGTTCTAGTGCTAAAGGGAAATGGTGCAGATGTAGCTAAGCATTGTGTACCTGCGGTTCCCACAAAGAGGTAATTTTTAGCAAATGTAAGTTTTGCATATACATAAAAATGGCGTTTTTTTGAAACTTGATATATCGGTTATGTTTTCAGGATATCGATCACGTTTAGGAAAATGGACGAGTCGAAACGACCAGTTGGATTCATCCCGGAGCCTGATTTGCAGGGAATTAAGCCGTTGCCATACGAACAGACAGCTCCGAGTACTCCTGTTTCTGCAACCATTAGCTCTTCAAGATCGAGTGATGATCAAAATGGTAATAATAACAGCAATAGAGGTGCACGTAGAGAAGGAAGCAGGCATCATCATTCTGAGAGTCGAGAGTGGTCATCATCAAGCCAAAGAAGACGAAACTCAAGACACACTCCTAACACTGTTTTTAGACACAAGGTTGATAGTTATACCAGCTCGGACAATGTCTGAAGATTTGTGTTCTGTTTTTTTTTTCTTTTCTCTTTTGTAATAATACAAAAGGAGTATTTTGATTTCTCCACATAATGAAATAGAGAAATTGCTCCTGGTTAAAAAAAATACAAAGATCTTTCCGCTATTCTATTCTTAAAAAGTGCTGAAATTTGATCAATTGGAACTTTAAATAAAAAAGTTGGACCTTGTAATAAAAAAAAAGAAATGGGACCTTATATAAAGAAAATTGCTGCGGCAATTTCTTTGCACTGGTACGCTCGCCTTCCGAAGGTTCTCTCTCGCTTCGAGCCTCGCAGAGAGTCTCAAAAAAAAAAGAAAAAAATGAGAGGGAAAATTGCATAGAGAATTGTAATCTTCCATCGTTTTCCTCGAGGTCGTCGGTTTTCACTCAGAGAACCAACGAAACCTCCTGAAGTTTCTCTTTTGAATTAGTGAATTTGATAAACCCTCGCTACTTCCTGACCTAGTCGACCACCTTCAGCTTTGGCGTTTAGGGATCGTCGCTGTAATCGACTGGAACAAGAAATACTCTCGGGCGTCAGAAAGGAGTGAAATTGAGGAGACGTATATAATTTCTACCGCGACGGAACCCTAAGACAGCCTTGCGCTTCTCTGGGTCAGCTTATTTTGTTTAGCCATGAGTCCAATTCAGAATTTTGAGCAACACTCTCGTCGTCTCGTGGAGCCTGACCTACGTAACATCACTCACTCTCTTCTCTTCTTTATTTCGTGGTTGAGAAAAGCTATCACTTTGGATTTTTTAAATTTGTCAGCGAAGTTTTACCTTTATGATTCTGAGGAATTTTCGTTTGACTTCGAGTTCGTGTTAAGTTTTGTTGTGGGCATCAAAGTTTTGTTCAATTAAAAAAAATTAACTTGTTTTTGTTTTTCTTTGTTTGATTGTCTTGTGTAGCTATCCAGACGAGGCTTGAGATGGTGGTGGAGGTCAGGGACAGTCTAGAGATCACACATACGGCTGAATACTTGAATTTTCTGAAATGTTACTTCCGGGCATCTTCAGTGATTCTTCTTCAGATTACAAAGCCTCAATTCTCTGATAATCTTGAGCACAAACTACGGAACATCGTGGTTGAGATACTCAATCGTCTGCCACATAGCGAGGTTCTTCGTCCCTTTGTTCAAGACCTCTTGAAAGTTGCAATGCAGGTGCTCACTACAGATAATGAGGAGAATGGGTTAATATGCATTCGCATAATCTTTGACCTTCTTAGAAACTTTAGGCCAACATTAGAAAATGAGGTTCAACCATTCTTGGACTTTGTCTGCAAGATATACCAGAACTTCAAATTGACGGTCAGCCATTTTTTTGAGAATGTCAAAATTGAAGAGGCGAAACCTATGGAGATATCTACACCATCTGATCAGTCGCTGTCCCTTACCGCACATTTCAGGAATGGGCAGATTAACCCGAGTACGCGTTCGTTCAAAATAGTCACAGAGAGCCCCCTCGTCGTTATGTTTCTTTTTCAGCTGTATAGCAGGCTTGTTCAGACCAATATTCCTAACTTGTTGCCCCTGATGGTTGCTGCTATTTCTGTCTCTGGACCTGAGATAGTTTCTTCACATATGAGGCCTCATTTCATCGAACTGAAGGGTGCTCAGGTTAAGGTGAGACAATAGTTCTCTATCAACAAGTATACCATAACTTATTTGGACGGTGAAAAAAAAAAAGATTTCTTTAAGACCTACATTGCCTTCTCGTTTCACCTGAATTATTTTGTTTTAAAGGGAACATGCCATGGCATATTGACTTGCAGTGTTTGTCTTATTCTTTTTGTTTATTTGCAGACGGTTTCTTTTTTGACTTATTTGTTAAAAAGTTGTGCCGAATATATCAGGCCGCATGAAGAAAGCATATGTAAGAGCATTGTAAATTTGCTTGTGACCTGTTCAGATTCTGCATCTATCAGAAAGGTGGAGAACCGTCTGTTATGTTTTTCTTCGGTATGTTTTCGCCTCGTGACACAATCATTGGCTTACAGTTAAAGACTTGTTTTTTGGTCTATGAAATACAGGAACTATTGGTCTCACTAAAGCATGTACTGGGAACGGATTTCAAGAGAGGTTTATTTCCTCTTATTGACACTCTTTTGGAAGAAAGGTACAATGCCATTTTCGCCGTTATGAATTCTAAACTTTTACAACTGTCTGGAAGCTGTTTTAATTTATCAAGTAATCTTTACTGTTCTGCATAGTTCACCGTGTCGTATTATCTATTTACAAATAGTGACTTATCTATTGACTGTTTTTCTGTGTGTCAGGGTTCTAGTTGGAACGGGGCGTGCATGCTTTGAGTCTTTGAGACCTCTGGCTTACAGCCTACTGGCCGAGATTGTTCACCATGTTCGAGCAGATCTGTCCCTTTCTCAGGTTCTTCTCGTTGTTTCTTACTTTGGCTTCTGTTTGTTTCTCTTTTGTTATTTGTTAGTTCCTTCTTTATAGAGTAGCTCTTTCTAGTTGAGAGTCTTAAGTTCTGGAACCTGTGCTAAGCATTGAATTGGATTCTATAGTAAGTAATACTAATTTGTTCCAATACACATATTGCTATGAATCTGTGGGTTTTTTGGTTGGGTATAAAAAAGGATCCTCATCTTTACGTTCTTATCAATTGTGATAAGAAAGTGCTTGCGCTTGGGAAATTTGTTATTTCTTGCTAACATAGAACCCCAAGTCTCCCAATACATTATCACAGAAGAAAATCTCAACAAACAAATAATTTTAGAATACAACATACTGATCAATCTTTCTTGCCAACATCAGGCTTCCCATTATAAGATTTTTCTCCCTGTCCATTATCTACTTTATAGGTGATCTATCTCTTACAGTTCTTTTTATTTGACTTGAAACCATGTGTCAGTTATCGCGGATCATCTACTTATTTTCAAGGAACATGCATGACTCGACCCTCTCTCTTAACATCCATACGACTTGTGCACGGCTGATGTTAAATCTGGTAAGGCTATATACTTCATTTTCTTTGCCTTATTGAAATTTGATATGCTACTTAACATTTATGTGGCATAATCTGTCCACGAAGTTTGAATCAAGATTTTTGGTAAAACTTAATTCTTATATTGGGTTCAGGTAGAACCAATATTTGAGAAAGGTGTTGATCAGCAGTCAATGGATGAAGCGCGGATTTTGTTGGTATAGCTCTTCCCTGAGAGCTCAGTTTAGAATTGGTTGGCTGCTCTAATCTTTAACTTACTTTACACGTCATCTATTTATAGGGACGTATCCTGGATGCCTTTGTTGGGAAATTCAATACCTTCAAGCGTACTATTCCTCAGGTAAATTCTGGTTGCTTCCCAAGGGGCCATGTATTTTTAGCTTCTTGGCTTTGCTGTCTATTTTTTTCGTAAATGTTTGCTTGATATGCCATTTTTTTATATGTTAGTGCTTTGTCTTTCGCTGCAACCCATTACCGACTTTTTTCTGTTATGTTTTTATTTGAGATATCTTGAACCTTTAGCTGTCCCGGTTATCAACTCTTTTTTTTCGTTGATGTGTTACTTAGTCTTGCTTTTTGCTTCATAGCTTTTAGAGGAGGGTGAGGGAAAGAATCTTATCACTTTGAGGTCGAAGCTTGAACTTCCTGTCCAGGTAATTACATATTATCTATGATGGCTGTTTTGTCTTAACAAGTAGCCAAATTATCAGCCAGTGTGAGATCGTACTCCACTGTTTATATTCAAACGTGCTAGTTCCACAGCGTTCGTTAGTATTCTACTAGTCTCATAGATAGGAAATCTAATTTCTTTCCGAAATTGGATTATAATTTATGCGGAAATATATGTATATATATATGTATATATTGTTTTTGTAGATATTTTCTGATATTTACTTTAGACCACGCTGGTTGCAGGCAGTTTTGAATTTGCAGGTTCCTGTCGAACATTCCAAAGAAGTGAATGATTGTAAAAATCTGATCAAGACACTGGTGATGGGTATATAATCTTGGGCACACTGACGTTTCACTTTAGTGGATCAGTTATAGATGATTTTTCTATATGTTAATGACATTTTTTTGTTATTTGTGTTCAGGAATGAAGACAATCATATGGAGTATAACCCATGCACATTCACCCCGACCTCAAGGAATGCACCCACAAGCTCTTGCGTTACAATCATCAGTTACACAGGTTTTTAAAGGAATGCGAGAAGATGAGGTATTGCATGTTAGATTGTTTAGTGTAGGCATCAATAGTGCATGGCTGATAGACCTCTAGTAACCTCTACCTTTAAGCAGGTGTGGAAAGCCTCTGGTGTTTTAAAGAGTGGTGTCCATTGCTTAGCTCTCTTCAAAGAGAAGGACGAGGAGAAGGAAATGCTAAACCTTTTCTCCCAAATTTTGGCTATAATGGAACCTCGAGATCTAATGGATATGCTCTCTATATGTATGCCTGAACTTTTTGAGTGCATGATTGACAATACTCAACTGGTTCAAATATTTGCCACTCTCCTCCAAGCTCCCAAAGTATACAAGCCATTTGCAGATGTTCTGATTAATTTCCTAGTAAGCAGCAAACTCGATGTTCTGAAGAATCCAGATTCAGCTGCTACTAAATTAGTTCTGCATCTCTTCCGGTGTCTCTTTGGGGCTGTTTCTAAAGCACCATCTGATTTTGAACGAATATTGCAACCTCAAGTGTCTGTTATTATGGAAGTCTGCATGAAGAATGCGATTGAAGTTGAAAAGCCCCTTGGTTATATGCAATTGCTCCGAACTGTTTTCAGAGGACTTGCTGGATGTAAATTCGAGATCCTTCTTAGAGATTTAATCCCCATGCTGCTTCCTTGTCTTAATATGCTGCTGACAATGCTTGAGGGCCCCGCCGGGGAAAACATGAGAGATCTTTTGTTGGAGCTTTCTTTGACGCTTCCTGCACGCTTAAGCTCATTATTACCATACCTTCCCCGCCTCATGAGGCCTCTTGTATCCTGTTTGAGAGGAACTGATGAACTTGTGAGCTTGGGGTTACGCACTCTTGAATTCTGGGTGGATAGTCTAAATCCTGACTTTTTGGAGCCAAGTATGGCAGATGTAATGTCTGAAATGATCTTAGCATTATGGTCTCACTTGAGGCCGGTGCCATACCCTTGGGGTGGAAAAGCGTTACAAATCGTGGGAAAGTTGGGTGGTCGCAACAGGCGATTTCTTAAAGACCCACTTACACTTGAATGCAAAGATAATCCAGAGCATGGGCTTCGCTTAGTTCTGACATTCGAGCCGTCCACTCCATTTCTTGTGCCAATGGACAAATTCATTAATCTTGCTGTAGCATCTGTTATTCAGAAAAACTTCACTACAGAAATCTACTACAGAAAGCAAGCTCTAAAATTCCTCCGCGTTTGCTTAGTGTCTCAGCTTAATTTGCCTGGGTGTGTCACTGACGAGGGTCAGACGACTAAGCAGTTATCAACTTTGTTACTTTCCTCTGTTGATTCATCTTGCCACGGGACTGAATTAACAGAAATAGAGGTTGGTTTCCCTTATGGCTGTACCCTTTACCTTTCTGGTCGAATGTTAGAGTTACTACTCGCTTTGCTGATTTTTACTTAAAGCATTGCCCTATGATTAGACTTTGTATTTGTTTTCTTGTTGCTATGCGTTTGACCTCGCTGAAAATCGAACTAGGACTGTTTTATGTCATCTCCCACGAGTGACCTACTTTTCTCCTTGGATTTTCTATATTACTTGGTGTAATATGATGTAAAAGGGTTTATTTGTTAAGAAGATTTTTTTTTTTGTTGCTGCAGGCTGACTTAGGGGTTAAAACAAAGACGCAATTAATCGCGGAGAAGTCAATCTTTAAGATGCTATTGATCACTATAATTGCTGCCAGTTCTGATCCGGATCTCAGCGACTCAGATGATGAATTTGTTCTAAACATATGTCGGCATTTTGCAATTATTTTGCACGGGGACTATACCGCGTCGTATGCTTCAACTAGTACTGGTCCACCTGGGGGTTCTGTGATTTCAACAAGTTCCAGGCCCAAGAATAATTCGTCTACTAATTTAAAACAGCTGGATCCTTTGATATTTTTAGATGCACTGGTTGATGTGCTTGCAGATGAAAACAGGATCCATGCCAAAGCTGCTCTGACTGCATTAAATGTGTTTGCTGAAACTCTGCTGTTACTTGCTCGTGTCAAACATGCTGATGTGCTGATGGCTAGGGGTGGTCATAGTGCCTCTATGATTGTCTCCAGTCCTTCTACAAATCCGGTGTATTCACCGCATCCAAGTGTGCGAATACCAGTGTTTGAACAACTTTTGCCTCGGTTGTTGCATTGCTGTTATGGGAGCACATGGCAAGCGCAGATGGGAGGAGTAAGTGGTTTAGGTGCACTGGTAGGGAAAGTGAATGTTGAAACATTATGTCTTTTCCAAGTAAAAATTGTACGTGGTCTGGTATACGTTCAAAAGAGGCTTCCTGTTTATGCTAGCAATGAGCAAGAAGAGACAAGTCAGGTTCTTATGCAGATTCTAAGAGTGGTTAATAATGTTGACGAAGCAAACAGTGAGGCCCGGAGACAAAGCTTTAAAGGTGTCGTAGAATATCTTGCTACTGAATTGTTCAATCCTAATGCATCTATCACAGTCAGAAAAAATGTTCAGAACTGTCTTTCACTTTTGGCTAGCCGGACTGGTAGTGAGGTATCTGAACTGCTTGAGCCTTTATACCAACCGTTGCTGCAGCCACTTATAATGCGTCCACTTCGATCAAAGACAATTGATCAACAGGTGCCTCATTCTGCTATTTTTCGGTTGTCGTATCTCTTTTCCCGAATTCTTTTTGACCTTCTTTAATATGCCTTATAGGTTGGAACTGTGACAGCTCTGAATTTTTGTTTAGCACTGAGGCCTCCCCTTCTAAAAGTGACTCCAGAGCTGGTTAGCTTCTTGCAAGAAGCGTTACAAATAGCTGAGGCTGATGAAGCTGTATGGGCTGTAAAGTTGATGAGTCCTAAAGTGCTTACATCATTGAACAAACTTCGAACAGCATGTATTGAGATTCTGTGCACAACTATGGCGTGGGCTGACTTTCGAACTCAAAGTTACAATGAACTACGGGCAAAGATAATTTCCATGTTTTTCAAGTCTTTAACCTGTAGAGCACCAGAAATTGTGACCGTTGCCAAGGAGGGTTTAAGACAGGTTCTTAATTATTTACCTTTTGTTTCCAGTTCTTGCACACATTCAATTTGAGGATTTTGGAGAAATAGTTTTTACTCTACCTAATAGCCATTTTTTTCTGGGATAGTCGATTCTTCTTTTATAAACCTTTTTCTGTCCTGAAACTCTGTTTTCTGCTTTAGGTTATCAATCAACAACGGATGCCCAAAGAACTTCTTCAGAGTAGCCTCAGACCTATACTAGTTAATCTGGCACACACAAAGAATCTCAATATGCCTTTACTGCAAGGTCTGGCACGTCTTCTTGAACTTCTATCAAATTGGTTCAATGTGACATTAGGAGGTAAGCTGCTGGAGCACCTCAAAAAATGGTTAGAGCCAGAGAAACTTGCACAGTCCCAGAAATCATGGAAAACCGGCGAAGAGCCGAAAATTGCAGCTGGTAATCACATTTTTGAAAATATATAAAAACAGATGTGATTATATATGAACACAAGTTTTTTGTTTTGTCTGTGGCAGCTATTATCGAGCTCTTCCATTTACTTCCACTTGCTGCATCAAAATTTCTAGATGAACTTGTAACATTAACCATCGACTTAGAAGCAGCTCTTCCTCCAGGGCAAGTGTACAGTGAGATTAACAGCCCATACCGCCTTCCGCTTACCAAGTTCTTGAATCGATATGCCACCCTAGCTGTTGATTATTTTCTTTCCAGATTAAGCGAACCAAAATATTTCCGAAGGTAAGAATAACATTGCATGTTAGGTTGAGTGTGTGTGAGCATGGGGTAATGACTGTTTCCATCTTTTCGTTATAACCTCAGGTTTATGTCCATAATTCGGTCAGATGCAGGCCAACCATTAAGAGAAGAACTTGCAAAATCTCCACATAAGATACTTTCATATGCCTTTCCTGAAATTTTACCAAAATCTGAAGTCATACTGAGTGCGGCAGCTTCAACTCCTCCAGCTGCACCATCTGGAGATGAAAAACCCGTCCCTATGCAAATAGAAAGTTCTAACACGCCATCAACTATCTCCAATATAGCATCAGATGCGTACTTTCAGGGACTCTATCTGATCAAAACAATGGTGAAACTGATACCCAGCTGGCTGCAGAGTAACCGTACTGTTTTTGATGCCTTGGCTCTTCTTTGGAAATCACATGCAAGGACAGCTCGTTTGCAGAATGAGCAAGAGCTAAATTTAGTTCAGGTAGTTTCATCTATATCTGAACTTTATAATTTCTGCATTAGTTTTGTGTTTGAAAATAAATGCATACATGGTTCCTTATCTAAAACTGATGTGGGCATCACAAACCATCTCACAATCGCTACGTGGATTGCCTGCTGTATATATATGTGGCCTTATGCAAATTTGATTCAAATTGTCAAACTAGGTTTTCGTTTATCTGCAGTCTTTCCGGTCTTGTATGTTGGGGCCCTCCTGACTTGTTTCTGTACAATTTTGTTTTTAAATTCCTTCCATATAATAAATGTATTCAGAAAAGTTGGCCATATCTTCAAATCTTTTATTTTTCAAACTCGCAGGTAAAAGAGAGCAAATGGCTTGTCAAGTGCTTCCTCAATTATCTACGACATGAAAAATCTGAAGTGAACATTCTTTTCGATGTTCTCTCTATTTTCTTGTTCCATAGTCGTATTGACTACACCTTTTTGAGAGAGTTTTACATTATTGAGGTATCTTTCTCAAAATTAGTTACAATTTTATATCTCTCTTTTATGCTTATTTCTCATATTTTGCAGCTCTAGAAAATAACTGGGTTCTTTCATCAGGTTGCTGAAGAATATCCGCCCAACATGAAAAGAGCACTTGTTTTGCATTTTCTAAACCTTTTCCATTCAAAACAACTCGCCCATGATCATCTAGTTCAGGCAATGCAAATGCTCATTCTTCCAATGCTTGCCCATGCCTTCCAAAACGGTCAAACGTGGGAAGTTATTGATCCTAATATAGTGAAGACCATTGTTGAGAGGCTTCTTGATCCACCTGAAGAGGTAGGTTTCTTTCTCCTCTAAGCAACTAAAATTTTGGATCATACAGAAATTAATGTGGGGGAAGATTGCTCTCTTGATGTAAATGGTAATGCGAGTAATCTGTCCAAGTTGTATTTCTGAAATGGTCCTATTGTACTTCTGATTTGTATTTTACTAGAGTTTTGTTGTTAATGACATCTTAAATATTGCAGGTTTCTGCTGAATATGACGAATCTTTGAGGATCGAACTTTTGCAATTAGCTACTTTGCTTCTGAAATATCTTCAGGGTGATCTGGTTCATCATAGAAAAGAGCTCATCAAGTTTGGATGGAATCATCTCAAACGGGAAGATAGTGTCAGTAAACAGTGGGCATTTGTTAATGTTTGCCATTTCTTGGATGCTTACCAGGCTCCGGAGAAAATCATTCTGCAGGTACCATTTCAATTTTTTTTTCTGGCATTATGTTGGTGATGTTTATTGTTTCTATTGAAGATTGAAAAAGGAAACTACTTGAAATTTTTATATGAGTGTATAACATTTTTTCCATTTAAAACCTGAAAGCAAGCATGTGCGTAGTAATACTCCTCATCTAATCCAGTGATACAAATGTTTTGTCAACTGGGTGTAGGTTTTTGTTGCGCTTCTTAGGACTTACCAGCCGGAGAATAAGATGCTAGTTAAGCAAGCCCTAGATATTCTAATGCCTGCTTTGCCTAAAAGGCTTCCACTTGGAGATTCAAGAATGCCGATTTGGATAAGATACACCAAAAAAATTTTGGTGGAGGAGGGTCATTCAATTCCAAATTTGATCCACATCTTCCAACTCATTGTTCGGCACTCAGATCTGTTTTACAGCTGTAGAGCACAGTTTGTACCTCAGATGGTGAATTCCTTAAGTCGTCTAGGTTTGCCATATAACACAACAGCAGAAAATAGGCGTCTCGCAATCGAACTTGCTGGATTAGTTGTTAGCTGGGAAAGGCAAAGACAGAATGAGATTAAAACGGTTACTGATGCCGATGCTACCAATGATGTCAGTGATGGGTTACATTCTTCATCCGGTGCAGACCCTAAGCGCTCAGCAGATGGATCTTCCATATCTGAAGACCCAAGTAAACGAGTTAAAATTGAACCTGGTCTCCAATCATTGTGTGTTATGTCACCTGGTGGTGCATCGTCAATCCCCAATGTAGAAACTCCTGGATCAGCTACCCAGCCTGATGAGGAATTCAAGCCAAATGCTGCTATGGAAGAACTAATCATCAACTTTCTTATAAGAGTAAGGCATTACATCTCCCACCTTCTACCATTGGGCATTTTTATAAGTTAATGTTTTCGATTTGAAAAAATTTCTTTGGTGGGGAGTTCTATAATAACAGAGCCCCTTCCCTGAGCAATTTTGCATTCCATAGAGATGACGTTTGGCAGTAGCAGTCCTAAAGCAATATAGTATTCTGTATAGTATTCTATAATGAGATTTTGCAGATCGTAGGTTTTCTAGATTTTGGATCTGCTTAAGTTCTATACCTTATTGACCACCTCTAGTTTCAATTTATGTTGTACATGACATTGTTTTAGGTATACAATTCATATATTAATTAATTTCTGTGGATGACTTTACTTGAAGTTTCCTTTCTCTTCCTTGAATAGGTAGCAGTGGTAATTGAGCCTAAGGACAGGGAAACCAAGACTATGTACAAACAAGCTTTAGATTTTCTTTCACAAGCTTTGGAAGTTTGGCCAAATGCAAATGTCAAGTTTAACTATTTAGAAAAGCTGCTAAGCAGCATGCCACCCTCCCAGTCAGATCCATCTACAGCACTTGCTCAGGGACTGGATGTCATGAACAAGGTTCTGGAGAAGCAGCCGCATCTTTTCATTACGAACAACATCACCCAAATCTCACAGGTATATTTGAGTCAGTAAGCTTTTACTTAATATATGAAATATTTCTGTTTTCTGCCTCTTGTTGACTGTTGGTTTCTTTATCAGTTTCTTGAGCTATCGTTCAAACACAAGATGTTGGATGCTGGTAAATCGTTGTGCTCTTTGTTGAAGATGGTCATCACTGCCTTCCCACAGGATGGAGCTAATACACCTCCTGACATAAAGCTATTGTATCAGAAAGTCAATGAGCAGATACAGAAACATGTACATGCTGTTGCTGTTCCACAAGCTTCAGGAGATGATAACTCTCTCGGTTCAATCAGCTTTGTAGTTATTGTCCTTAAAACCTTGGCAGAGATACAGAAAAACTTTGTTGATCCATATGTACTGGTGCGTATCCTTCAGCGTCTTTCGCGGGATCTGGGATTGGCAACGAGTGCTCATCCTAGACAAGTAAGTTATCTTCATTTAATAGCTACCTTTTGTCTAAGAGATAAAATCATATGCTTGTTTTCTTTTCTTATTTTAACTCAAATGGACTTTACATGGCATTCAGTCATTCACCGCATCTTATCGACTGAGTATTGGAATATCTAATGCTTCTAAATAACTATGCAGCACGTTCATTCATGCCTTGTAAGATTTTAGCTTTTATATTTGTTCCTCCCTTTCATCATCTTGCAGCTCTGACTCATTTACTGACATGTTTTGGTCGGTGCGTATATACTATCAAATTTTGTCTCTGTTGCCAGCTCCTGTATAATTCCTCGCCTTTTTTCTTGAAAGTAATAACTCGGTATCCATTACATGTTGCCCAATTGTGGCTTACTCTGGTGGCCTTTTTGTGTCCCTTTCCAGAGCCAGCGGACAGATTCAGATTCTGCAGTAACTTCTTCTCGTCAAACTGCTGATGTTGGGGCAGTCATATCTAATATAAAGTCGGTCTTAGAACTTATTGATGAAAGGGTTATGCTTGTGGCTGATTGCAAAAGACCCGTGACTCAAATATTGAGCACTTTGCTTTCAGAAAAGGGTACTGATTCGAGCGTGCTTCTCTGCGTGCTAGACATGTTAAAAAGATGGGCTGAGGATGATTTCGGAAGAATAGGTTCATCTGGGTCCTCTGGTGCTTTCCTTACCCAGAAGGACATAGTTTCTTTTCTTCAGAAGCTTTCACAGGTTGATAAGCAGCACTTCTCATCTTTTGCTTTGGAAGAGTGGGATAAGGCGTATCTTCAGCTATTATATGGACTTTGTGCCGATTCAACGAAGTAAGTTTTTGCTTTTTGTTCTTATGTTCAACCTTGAGTTACGTCTAAGTTTTTTATGAGAGGGATGATATCTGTTTCACTAACAGGTATCCGCTGGCCCTCCGACAAGAGATCTCCCTGAAAGTTGAAAGACATTCAATGCTTGGTTTACGGGCAAGGGATCCTGAGATGCGAAGGAAGTTCTTCTTGTTATACCACGAGTCTCTCGGAAAAAATTTATTCTCAAGGCTGCAGTACATTATTCAAAGCCAAGATTGGGAAGCTATGAGTGATGTGTTTTGGCTCAAACAGGGTCTTGATCTCCTCCTAGCCATCTTAATCGAGGAGAAGCCAATTACTCTAGCACCGAATTCTGCCAGGGTAGTACCACTTCTTCCTTCACATAGTCCTGGAGTACACCACCAACCACCTGCTATGCCGGAGGGACCTGAAGAAGTCGCTTCAATGTTTGAAAACATTGTTCAGAAGCATGCACAATTTCTTTGCGCGGCAAGCAAACTTCAGGTGATTGCAAATTATTTTTAAAAAATTGCTCAGTCTTTATGGTTCTATCTTATGTCCTGTTAGATAAAAATATAGTTAGTTAATTATTTCAAGCTTTGGTGTGTTATCCACTTTGGAAGCTGGATTGATCTAAATAAATTGTATGTACTCTTTTCCCCGCTATAGGTGGCTGATGTTGTTATCCCTCTAAGGGAGCTGGCTCACACAGATGCCAATGTTGCTTATCATTTGTGGGTGCTAGTATTTCCAATCGTGTGGGCAACCCTACACAAGGAAGAGCAGATAGCTTTGGCTAAACCTATGATTTCTCTCCTGTCAAAGGACTACCACAAGAAGCAGCAAGGACACAGGCCGAATGTTGTGCAAGCACTTCTGGAAGGGCTTCAGTTGAGCCACCCTCAACCTAGGATGCCTAGTGAGCTTATCAAATATATCGGAAAAACATACAATGCATGGCACATCGCATTGTCTTTGCTAGAGACCCATGTCATGCTGTTCATGAATGACTCAAAATGTGCCGAGTCTCTTGCTGAGCTATATCGTTTGTTAAATGAAGAAGACAGGAGATTTGGTTTGTGGAAGAATAGGTCCATCACTGCCGAATCGAGAGCTGGGATTTCAATGGTTCAACATGGTTTTTGGCAGCGTGCTCAGAGCCTTTTCTATCAGGCGATGGTTAAGGCAACCCAAGGCACTTACAATAACACCGTACCGAAGGCTGAAATGTGCCTGTGGGAGGAGCAATGGCTCCACTGTGCCACTCAACTTGGTCAGTGGGATGCCCTGGTAGATTTTGGAAAAAGCACTGAGAATTATGAAATTTTGCTTGATAGTCTGTGGAAAGTACCAGATTGGGCATATTTGAAGGATCATGTGATACCCAAGGCACAAATCGAAGAGACGCCGAAGCTTCGTTTGGTTCAAGCTTGTTTTTCCCTTCATGACAAAAATGCAAATGGTGTCGGAGATGCTGAAAACATAGTTGGGAAAGGCGTTGATCTTGCCTTGGAACAGTGGTGGCAGTTACCTGAAATGTCTCTTCAGGCTAGAGTGCCTCTACTGCAGCAATTCCAACAACTAGTGGAGGTGCAAGAGTCTTCTAGAATTTATGTTGACATCGCAAATGGGAGTAAAGTTCCAGGAAATGCTGCTGTTGGTGTACAAAATCAGTATGCTGATCTGAAGGACATTCTTGAGACTTGGAGGCTGAGGACTCCAAATGAATGGGACAACATGACTGTCTGGTATGATATGCTGCAGTGGAGGAATGAAATGTATAACATTGTTATTGATGCATTTAAGGACCTTATAACGTCAAATACTCCACTTCATCACCTTGGTTATCGTGACAAAGCATGGAACGTCAATAAGCTTGCTAGGATAGCTCGGAAACAAGGGCTTAATGATGTTTGCGTTCAGATACTTGACAAAATGTATGGACACTCACAAATGGAAGTACAGGTACAGTCCTCATATCTTTAACATTAAAATTTGGGCAGAGTTCATTCAAAATCACATCTTTGGATTCAACCTGTAGTTTTCACATTAATATACTTTCTTCCTTTTTTATCTTTACCTAGTTTGATTAAATATTTCCTGCCACAGCGGTAAATCCACTCATTAATTATTTCCTCACCCTTTCCACGATCCTATAAAATAAGTTATATTTCGCTGAGTCTTTTTTTTTTTTTTTGTGGGGCTTGACATATCATTTCTTTTGACTTGATCACCTCTATTCTGCGCCTGTGTATGCAGGAAGCCTTTGTTAAAATTAAAGAGCAGGCAAAAGCTTATATGGAAACAAAAGGAGAGCTTGCGACTGGTCTTAATTTGGTTAATAGCACAAATTTGGAGTTCTTTCTAGCGAAGAACAAGGCAGAGATATTTCGTCTAAAGGGGGATTTCCATTTGAAGTTAAACGACACTGAAGGTGCTAATATTGCATATTCCAATGCAATCACCCTATTCAAGAATTTACCCAAGGGATGGATAAGCTGGGGAAATTACTGTGACATGGTATTTCTTTTACTTAGATGCTGCTTCTTTTTCTGGGCTATTAACATTTTCCCTCTTCTCGTAGTAGATATTATATTTTACTTTCGTTTTACAGGCATACCAGGAAACAGAAGATGAAATTTGGCTAGAATATGCTGTCAGCTGCTTTCTTCAGGGTATAAGATTTGGAGTTTCCAATTCCAGAAGTCACATGGCTCGTGTTCTTTATCTTCTTAGTTTCGATTCAGCAAATGAGCCTGTTGGTAGAATATTCGATAAACACTTGGAACAAGTACCTCACTGGGTGTGGCTCTCTTGGATCCCACAGCTGTTGCTTTCCCTGCAGCGAACAGAAGCACCCCATTGCAAATTGGTTCTACTGAAAATTGCTGCAGTATTCCCGCAGGTAATTTCCTTTTAGTTTTTTAGATGAACTCGTTTATTTATCATTTCATATGAGCATGAGACTGTTTTTCGTTGCAGGCTCTCTATTACTGGCTCCGCACATACTTACTGGAGCGCCGGGATGCGGTAAATAAATCTGAACTTAGCAGAGTGGTTTTGGCTCAACGAATGCAGCAAAATGTTCCTGGTGTTAGTGCGGGTCATGGTGGCGGTAATATATCATCGGAAACTCAAATCCATCAAGGTGCTCAAAGTAGTGGGGCTGTTGGAACCCATGACGGTGGTAACCCACATGCCCAAGAAAGTGAACGTTCCACTGTGGGTAACAATGTGCATCCAGGGAATGATCAACCTATGAACCAAAGTAGTTCAGCTATCATTGAGAATAGTCAAAACGCAGCAATACGGAATGGTGCTTCGTTGGCAATCTCTGCTGCTGGTGCTTTTGATGCGGCAAAGGATATTATGGAAAATCTTAGGAGTAAACATAACAACTTGGCCAGTGAACTTGAGGTAGTATTCTGTTTGTGAATATTCTCTGATTCCTTTATATTCTCTGATTCCTTTATATTCTCTCTATAAAAGTTTTCATTTTGAAAATTAATTTTGAAAAAGAAAAAAAATAGAAAACTACTGTCTTATACAAGTAGCTTGATTTGACTCAACTGCACGTTCCCTGCTTCTTTACTTGAATTATTTAATGATGTATTATTTTCTCTCAGATTCTTCTCACAGAAATAGGTTCGAGGTTTGTTACTTTACCAGAAGAAAGACTTCTTGCTGTTGTGAATGCTTTGTTGCATCGATGTTACAAATATCCAACTGCTACCACTGCTGAAGTTCCGCAACCGCTCAAGAAAGAACTCTCGGGTGTATGCAGAGCTTGTTTTTCTGCAGATGCTGTGACCAAGCATGTCGAATTTGTGAGAGAATACAAACAGGATTTCGAGCATGGCCTGGATCCAGAAAGTAAGTCATTCCCTGGCACACTCGCAGAGCTGACAAAGAAACTGAAAGAATGGAAACACATTCTTCAGAGCAATGTTGAAGACAGATTCCCCGCTGTGCTGAGATTGGAAGACGAGAGCAAGGTGCTGCGTGACTTCAATGTTGTTGATGTGGAGATACCAGGACAGTACTTTGCTGACCAGGTAAATTGGATTGTGTTACTCGTCTCTTGTTTACCTACACTGTTTACGTTCTCCAGAGTTGGAAGTAAATTATATAAGTTTATTCCTTCCATTATATTTCTTTCCCATTTGCGCTGTGAGCTAAATAATGATATGTTTAACTGCCCAGGAAGTAGCACCTGATCATACAGTAAAGTTGGATAGGGTTGGAGCAGACATACAAATTGTACGAAGGCATGGGAGCAGCTGCAGACGTTTGACTCTTATAGGCTCTGATGGCTCGCAAAAGCATTTTATTGTTCAAACATCACTAACTCCTAATGCGAGAAGTGATGAGCGAATCTTGCAGCTTTTCCGTGTGATGAACCAAATGTTTGATAAGCATAAAGAGTCAAGAAGACGCCATATAGGAATTCATACTCCGATCATTATCCCTGTCTGGTCTCAGGTATGCCTTGAAAAAACTCAGCTTAGTTCCACTTTTGGTTATTGATATAGTTGATGTCTCATTCAATGAGTATATTTGCGGTTCAAGACTTTCCCTGAAACTTTACAAATTCAATGTAGTTCACTTTTGGTTGTCCATAATAAGAGTAGGGTAAAACTCTCTAGGAATATGCTAACATTTGAGTTTCAGGTCCGAATGGTTGAGGATGATCTCATGTACAACACTTTCCTTGAGGTGTATGAGAACCACTGTGGAAGGAATGGTCGAGAATCAGATCTTCCTATTACCTACTTCAAGGAGAAACTCAATCAAGCTATCTCGGGGCAAATCTCACCAGAGGCAATTGGAGATCTTCGGCTACAGGCTTATGGTGAGATCACAAAGAACATAGTCAGTGACAGTATTTTCTCTCAGTACATGTACAAGACATCGATGAGCGGAAGCCATCTTTGGGCTTTCAAGAAGCAATTCGCTGTCCAGCTAGCTGTCTCCAGTTTCATGTCTTTTGTCCTACAAATCGGTGGGAGATCCCCAAACAAGATCTTATTCGCCAAAAACACTGGAAAAATGCTCCAGACAGATTTTCATCCAACTTATGACTCCAATGGGATGATTGAGCTTAACGAACCCGTGCCTTTCCGCCTCACAAGGAACATGCAAGCATTTTTCTCACAATTTGGTGTCGAAGGCCCTCTCATGTCAAACATGTGTTCTGCATCTCAAGCAGTTTTCTCTTCCAAGGTAAGAAGAATATTTCTCAAAGCTTGAGCGGTGCAAGCATAGAAATCATTTGGCCTCTTAACATCTTCTTCTCTTTTCCAATATTTCAGCAAAAGGAACATCTTCGGTATCAATTAGCCATGTTCTTCCGCGATGAGCTTCTGTCTTGGTTTGGAAGAAAACCTCTCGGAATGCCTATTCCTCCTGCTGCAGGAGTTGCTACTATGAGCTCGGCCGAGCTCAAGCACAAAGTTAACTCAAACGTAGACGAAGTCATTGGGCGAATCAAAGGAATAGCTCCACAGTATTTCTCTGAAGAGGTACACTCATCATTTGACGTCTCCACCTTAGTTTTAAATGCTACTAACACTCTCATAAAACTCAGATAGAGGGTTTTGTCCATTTTCTGAACAGATGAATCTCATGTTTTCCGGTTGTTTTTTACAGGATGAGAACTCGGTGGAGCCGCCACAGTCTGTGCAAAGAGGTGTGAATGAATTGGTGGAAGCAGCTTTGTCGCCTCGCAACCTATGTATGATGGATCCAACATGGCATCCTTGGTTCTAACTTTTGCCTTCGAGGAAACTTGTAACCATTTTGGGGTAGAATTTGAGTTGAAGTGGTTAGGTTTGTAAATAGTTAACCTTATGTGTTCAACAAACTCTCTAGGTTTCTTTTTTGGGAATTTTGTCTTCAAACATTCACTCATCTTCAAAGTAAAACTAATATACATATATATACATAAAGTGGAAGTTTCCTCTACACAACAATTCGCAAGCTTCACTGGTAATTGTTTAATATAACAAAAGCTAAAAATTTCAAAACTCTCTGAAATCCTCTCGCCTCTGAGTTATCTTCCACAAGCTACCAGCTTTTTGCCTTGGTCTTTGCAGTCTTTCGCTCATGGTTTATGTTTCTGTACATTTCCTAATTTTCATATTTCGATCCCACGGCACCTTTTCATCACTAAGATTAGATTGTCCCGGCGAAGGAGGAGCTTTCAAAAACCAGAGTAAGTATAGAAGACAACAATGCTAATTACTGCAAAAACTTGTTTTTCCACTTCTAATTTTCGTGCACCACAAGCTTTGAAGATCGCTGTCTATGAGAACTAAATACTAGATTAATAAATATTTGCAGAGGCAAAAAATATATTTTTAAAAATCTTGTTTCTAAGTTAGAAAGATAAAACGCTTTGTGCCATGTAAAATTTTTTGAAAGATATGTTTCTAAAATGGAAAAGGAAACTAAATTTGTTTTTGTTATTGACCCAAACCATCGTCGTCCTCTTCCTCCCATGTCTCAATCTCTCTCTCTCTTCTCATCGTCTTGCTCATTTTCATTCCGGCATATCTGTGATCGTCCCCTCTATTATAGACCTGAAACGGAAGCTCTAAGAGCACCACATGGGTCTCTGTTTCTCTTCTCCTAAAGCCACCAGACATGGTACCAGTCGCCGGAAACCTAATCCGACGCCGGAGATGCCTAAACCGCAACCACAGGGGAAGGCAAGAAAAAAGGTTAGTAATAAAAACAAGAAGAAGACGAACAACAACAAGATCCAATGGAGACACGGAGGAGAGACCCCTTACGGTAAGGGCGTCGATTTTGGGTACGCTAAGGATTTCGATAACCATTACACCATCGGGAAATTACTCGGACACGGCCAATTTGGTTTCACCTACGTCGCTACCGATAACGTCAACGAAGATCGCGTCGCCGTCAAGAGAATCGATAAGGCCAAGGTAAACATTATCTGACTTGAATAATTCTCTCTGATTCAAAAGCTCCTTTCTCAATGTTTGAATTGGTATTCTATTGTTAATGGGGTTTTAAACTTAAAAATCCAACCTTTAAGGAATGTGATTGCTTGACACCGAAGTAAACTCTGCATCTCAAGTTTTTGCCTTGTTCTAAGCTCTGTTTTCATACCAAATATGGTGTGCAGATGACTGTGCCGATTGAAGTGGAAGATGTGAAGCGAGAGGTTAAGATACTACAAGCTTTAGGTGGGCATGAGAATGTGGTTGCGTTTCACAATGTATTCGAAGACAAAAACTATGTTTATATAGTCATGGAGTAAGCCTCAAATTTGTCTCTGTTTTTATTATCATTCTCTTTCTTGTGCGGCAAGAAAAAACTAAAACCATCCCTGTTTGATGGGTTTTTTCTTCTTTCAGGCTATGTGAAGGTGGTGAATTGCTAGATCGAATATTAGCTAAGTAAGCGGAACAACAATTTTTGTCAACAACAATGCAATAAAAGTCTCCGTAAACAAAAAAAAAAAAAAAAATAGACATTTTGGGAAGTTACCTCAAGTCAGCAACTTTCAGCATTATTTATGTGTGTTTCCAGGAAAGACAGCCGTTACTCTGAGAAAGATGCAGCGGTTGTGGTGAGACAGTACGCGGTTTGGTTCACCGTGATATGAAGCCAGAGGTAGGTACGGTTCGATCTAATGCCTAAAAGTTGCAGATCCATTGTGAAATAATCTTCCTTTAACCCTCTTCTTTCCCCCAACAGAACTTTCTGTTCAAGTCGACAGGAGAAGATTCGTCTCTAAAGGCTACAGATTTCGGATTGTCTGACTTTATAAAGCCAGGTAAGATTTGCAAGTGTTTCACTCCTCAGGTCTTGTATCATCTCAGGATGATGATATATAGAGACGATTGTTATGAAAAAATGGCAGGAATGAAGTTCCAGGACATAGTAGGAAGCGCGTATTACGTTGCCCCTGAAGTGTTGAAACGTAGGTCAGGACCCGAATCAGACGTATGGAGTATCGGTGTCATCACTTACATTCTGCTCTGTGGAAGAAGACCCTTTTGGGATAAGACACAAGACGGAATATTCAATGAGGTGTAGTAATATTTTGTAAAGCAATCCAATCTGTGATATGCTTGTTCATGGAGGTGTTTATACTGACATGAAAAACAAAACAGGTCATGAGGAAAAAACCTGACTTTAAAACAATCCCGTGGCCAACCATTAGCAACAGTGCCAAAGATTTCGTGAAGAAGTTGTTAGTAAAGGAGCCACTAGCTCGGTTGACAGCAGCTCAAGCGCTATGTATGTGATTCAAATTAATTGACATAAACTTCCATTGTATTTTGGTTATGTTCACTGATCTGATCTTATGGATATGCATGGTGGTTGGGGTTTTGCAGCACATCCATGGGTGAGAGAAGGAGGCGAGGCCTCGGAGATTCCAATAGATATATCTGTTCTCAACAATATGCGTCAGTTTGTGAAATTCAGCCGCCTTAAGCAGATTGCTCTGAGGGTAATAATCAAATAAGAAACAGAGAAAAAGATTGTATTTCATATGAAAGTTCTTGAGTTCTTTCTTTACCTGTGTTGTGTTTTTGAAAAGGCTCTGGCGACGACAATTGATGAGGATGAGCTGGATGATCTCAGAGACCAGTTTGATGCGATTGACATTGACAAGAACGGTTCCATTAGCCTCGAGGAGATGAGGCAGGTAAGAAATTAGAAAAAAACAAACACCGCAACACAAGTAAGCGATTCAAGGCACAACTGCATATAAATAAACTCATCAATCTTGTATTGGATCAATTTTCACAGGCTCTTGCGAAAGATGTTCCTTGGAAACTGAAGGATGCAAGAGTTGCAGAGATTCTTCAAGCAGTAAGTCACTGAGTCTTACTAGCCACCTCCACGGGTTAGCGTGTATAATCCAAGATGCGTCTGTCTTTGCAGATTGATAGCAACACTGATGGGTTGGTGGATTTCACTGAGTTTGTAGTCGCTACTTTGCACGTGAATCAATTGGAGGAACATGACTGTGAGAAGTGGCAACAGAGGTCAAGAGCAGCATTTGACAAGTTCGACATAGACAGAGATGGGTATATAACACCCGAGGAACTTCGATTGGTCAGTCTCATACTTGTTACATTCCCTCAGTTTTCTCCCCTTGTTTTACCAAAACCAAAGGGGTCTTTCTTTGTATTTGTTTTGCTTGCAGCAAACGGGTTTGAAAGGCTCTATCGAGCCACTTCTTGAAGAGGCTGAGGTCGACAAAGATGGGAGAATCAGCATCCATGAGTTTCGTAGACTCTTGAGATCTGCAAGCCTCAAGTCAATAAAAGTTAAAAGCCCTCCTGGTTACCAGCTTTCTTGAAAGATGTAAATAATTTACTTACAAAATTCACAACTTGAGAGATGAAGCTAGTTTCATTGCCCAAATTAGCAAGTGCACAAACTCGCATCTCTCATATACAGAAAAAAATATTTGTCACCATCCGTTTTCTTTTTGCTGTCAGATCAAGAAAATGGTATAGATGCTAGGTGGGATTTGTATAATGGACACTGAGTATCATCCCATTTGCTTGGTGTCTTCTAACATTGGTCATAAATAGTTACGTTGCAAAGAAATAAGCAAACGATAGTGTTTTCTTGCTAAAAGGGTGTAGCTCTCCTTCTAGAGTAGGAACTAGGAACCGATCTGAGCAAATGTTTTTGTGTTTTATTTTCTTGTGATGATAAATTACATAGTTAAGCATGGGGATATTCTACAACCAGTGAATATTTGGTGGCATTATTGAGTACCTTCTCAATCAGGGTGCTAAACACAGGCTTCACAAGGTTTTACTTGACTGGCATTATTTGGCAGGGGAATACATTGTATCGGTTTAGGATTTCAAAATGTTATTAACATTACCGGAGGAACTATCTTGAACAGCTTCAGATGATAAGTAACTATTCGATGAGCTTGAAGCGGTTGTGGAGTTTCCTTTCTTGTCTTTTCCAGAAACATCCTGCATGGAAGGATCAGTCCGTGAAATATACATGTGAAAAAGCAAAGAAAGAGCTTGTTTGCAAAATTTATTGAAGAAGTCACTCACCTGTTTAGCTGAAGAAGAGGCATTGATTTTAAGCTCAAGCTCCAAACCAACATCATCTTTTGTATCTGAATGGTTACTGTTCCTCATCGGATTCAAATCTAAAGACTTGGTTTTGGAATCTTGTTTGTTTGAAGCAACACAAGAGGAAGAAAGTGATACTTGTTCGGACGTTGAAGGATTGACCGAGGCTGAATACGGTATAAAAGTGGAGCAGGGGTTTTGTGGAGAAGGCTGAACTGAGACTAGACCCTGAGTTATTGCTACTAGAGGAATATGATAAGTGTAATGTGAAATCCATGGGACCATAGTTCTGACTCTATGCTGATATTGAGCATTAAGAATCTCGATATCGGACTTGAGAGATGTTTTTTCCTCTCTCAGCTCGCTCTTCTCTTGAATTAGCTGCTTAGCATTGGTCAAAACAAATTGGAAGATGGTGAAAACTTCATATCATTCAAGCAGAATCTAATTAAGAAGAGTATTAAGTTAAATCAATCATCACCTCACGAGACTCTTGAGATAGTGTGGCATACTCAGCTTTTAGTCTATCGACATGAGTCATTAGATCCTTCAGAATCTGGATTGTATCAGTGAGAACTGAAGCTTTGTCACTCTTAGGCCTATTGGGATCTGCAGCAAACATTATAAGCTCAATTTAAAAGAAAAACTTTCATAAAGTGAAACTGAAAATTCTCTGTGAGATAGATAGATATACCTAGTGCATTTCCTAGCTCAAGAAACTGTTCGTTGAGCTTATCTCTACGGATTTTCTCCCGGTCTGCCTTTTGAATTTTCCGGGAAGAAACTGGTTCCTTCTTCTCTTCCACCATCTTCTCAGGCCTCCTGAGATAGACAGACAAAAAAAAAACAACAAACGAAAGTAAGAAAAGACATGATTCTTTACATTTCCAAACCCATATTCAAGCCTCGAAACCTAAGATTATGTCCTGAGGAAAAAGAAGAAGAAGAAGCAGAGGATTCATCAGAAAAAGAGAATTCAGAGGAAGTTTTCGGCTTCTTCGACTGATCCATTGCAGCGTCCCAAAATCAGCACAAACTAGCCCGAGAAAGATATAGAGAGTGCGCGAGAGTGAAAGAGATCAAATTTGAGTTGGTTTCTTCTTCTTCTTCTTCTTCGTCGTGAGTATATAATAAAATCCGGCGATAATGGTGGTGGACGCCGACGAGGCAAATCAATAACTTGTGCTCCCCACGCGCCACCATTGAATAGATGTGATACGCTACTCCTAGTTACAGACTACTAATCTACGTGTATAATATATAAGCCGTCGATTATGCTGACTTTTATTCTGTCAGATCTCAACCGTCTAACGTTACAGTGTCCAATTTTAATGGAAACATTTGTTTTAGTTTTTGGTTTTTCACCTTAAAGGGAGGATCTTTGACGAACTTGGGTGGAAGAAGAGAGGATGAAGTTAGTGACTTATAACGTTAATGGCCTAAGGCAACGAGTCTCGCAGTTTGATTCTCTTCTCAAACTTCTCAATTCGTTCGACGCCGATATCATCTGCTTCCAGGTTTTACTTCAATGTCCACTCGATTTTGAAAATTTCAATCGTTCTCCTTTATTTCCGATGAATCCGTAATAGTTTTATCCGGGTTTGAATCTAGGAGACGAAACTTAGAAGGCAAGAATTATCAGCGGATTTGACGATAGCTGATGGCTATGAATCGTTTTTCTCGTGCACTCGCACTAACGAGAAAGGTCGTACTGGCTATTCTGGTAAGCAGCATCAAGCTATGTATCTTGAGTGGATTTATAAGTGAAATTTGAAGAAAGAGGAAATGGCTGGAGTTTTTATGCTGTCGAATTCGCAGGTGTAGCAACTTTTTGCAGGGTAAAGTCAGCATCTTCAAGCTGTGAAATTGCTTTGCCTGTTGCTGCGGAAGAAGGCTTCACTGGTCTCGTAAACAGTAATTCTCGAGGTGGGAAGAATGAAACTTCTGCAATTGCTGAAGGTCTTGAGGAGTATGAGAAAGAAGAGCTTCTTAGGATTGACCAAGAAGGACGGTGTGTTATAACTGATCACGGCCACTTTGGTATATGACTCAAAATCTTTCTTTTTTTTGTTGTTTAATTCCTTTAGGTGTACACGAAAGCTTCTTTGCAATTTATATATATATATATATATATATATATATATATATCTATGGGTTTTTTCAGTTGTTTTCAATGTCTATGGGCCGCGAGCTGTAGCTGATGATGCTGAGAGGATCGAGTTTAAGCATCGGTTTTATGATATTTTAGAGGTACAGTAATTCCATTGGTTTCTGAATGTAGCGATGAGTTACCTCGACTTTTTGGGGTTAATTGTGTCTTAGTTTTGGGTTTAGAGAAGATGGGAGTGTCTTCTGCGTCAGGGAAGAAGGGTATTTGTTGTTGGTGATCTCAACATTGCTCCTTTTGCTATGGATCGATGTGAAGCTGGCCCTGATTTCGAGAAAAACGAGTACGTATACACTGATATTCATGATCTGCTTAAATCATTTTGCTTTACTCAATTCTTTCTTTTATATTAGATTTACTCATTTCATGCCCAAAAAAAAAAAAAAAAAAAAAAAACAGGTTCAGGAAATGGTTTAGATCTCTGCTAGTTGAACATGGAGGCTCATTCTCTGATGTTTTCAGATCAAAACATCCTGAAAGGTGGGAATTTGTGAATAACCTCTAGCCATCCATATTTAGCTTTTTTTAATATTCGGTTACATTCTTTGAATTTTCTATTTGTCATTGATTGGGATTTCTTAACAGGAAAGATGCATTCACATGTTGGTCCTCAAGTAGTGGAGCAGAACAATTTAACTATGGCTCGAGAATTGATCATATCTTAGTCGCTGGATCATGCTTGCATGAAGACGGAGATCAGCAGAGCCATAGTTTTCTTGCTTGTCATGTCAAGGAATGTGACATATTAACAGAGTATAAGCGTTTCAAGAATGAAAATATGCCAACAAGGTAAGTGTTTCAGCTTTACACGTGATTACTTCTTTCATGTCCGTCTCACTTTTACATTGATCTCAAATTTAGTTTGTGGATCAAACTTACAGGTGGAAAGGTGGATTGGGTAAAAAATTAAAGGGATCAGACCATGTACCTGTATTCACTAGTTTTGATGATTTGCCTGACATCCCCGAACACAGCACACCACCATTAGCTTCACGATATCTTCCCATGATTTACGGTTTCCAGCAAACTCTTGGTAAAATTTATACCACTGTGATGGATTTGATGAACATTATTAACTTATTTCTGTCTCTATGTTTGTATCTGACATTTCATCTTCTCCACTTGTTCTTTTTCTACTGTAACAGCGTCAATGTTTATGAAAAGGCAAGCCAAAGCCATTGAGGTTTCATGTTCATCATCGAGTCAAAGTAGAGCTACGCCAAGTTGCGGAGAGATCTCAACAGAACCACTCCGAAACTGCGCTTTAACGAGTATTTCACCCGAGAGATCTTGTTCTTTTGAGAAGGAATCCATTTGTAGCGTTACAGAAACAGACACGGCATTGAGAGGTTCCACTGATAACCTTAATGATAGGATGTGTGTATCATCAGTGAGAGCTGAGAATATCTCTAGAGATGGAAACAGGAAAAAAGCAAGGAAGATCCAATCTTGTCAGCTTTCTCTCAAGTCCTTTTTCACCGCAAACTCAAAGGCAAACAGTGGCGGGGAGAAATCTGCTTCATATGTTTCCTCAAGTCAGAGCTCCCAAGTCGAGAGCATCACAGAACCGATTGTTTCCAGCCAAGAAGACAATGAACCAACTAATTCAACGCAAGAACAAGATCAAAGCGGCTCTTCAGCTAAACGAAAGAATAATGCAGCTTTAATGGAGTGGCAAAGGATACAGAACCTAATGCAAAACAGCATACCTCTCTGCAAAGGACATAAAGAAGCTTGCGTTGCTCGGGTCGTAAAGAAACCAGGTCCCACATTTGGTCGTAGATTCTACGTCTGCTCTCGAGCTGAGGTAAAAAAAAAATTACTATAAAAAACAAGGCTTTTGAACCGTAGATGTTATACGCTAATATCTACATTTCTTGCAGGGACCTTCCTCCAATCCAGAGGCAAACTGTGGTTATTTCAAATGGGCTACATCAAAATTCAAAGACAAGTAAAACAGTGATGATGTCATTATTTGAAGACATGATGAGTATACTAGGATGTATGTATTTTTCATTTGAATTCTGGTTTTAAGCATCTTTGTGAATATAATTATTTTTTGTATTTTGGGATATATTTTGAAATTGAAATTTAGTTATAGTGATAAACTTATTCCAAACTATTAGACATGAATCCAAATTAGCATATTTAAAACATCCTTCGTGTTTTTATACTTTTATTTTTTATGATATCTCTTTTGGATTAATTTTAATTAATTAGAAGACACTTGGGACTCTATATATGAAGTTTATAATCATAAGTCATTCTAATATACTATTAAAAAATCAAAACAAAGTGTTTTTTTTTAATAAATTCAAAATGTTTTTTTAAATAAAAATTTTAAATGTCGTATCGATTGAGCAATGTGTATAGACGTTGGGTTAAGCTTATTTCCACATTGACGTCTCTATCATTTTATCCCTCTTGTCCTCGTTTTATTATAATGTATTGATTCTTTTAATGTGTTTAAGTTTTAGCTTTGTAACGTAGCTAAGTATCTATAGTAATATACTAATGTTACAAGTTGGCAGAAATATAATTATAAGGTATGTTACTACACATGGATACGTATACGAGTATACGTGTATATGCTTTGTGTAATTATGCGTATTCATTCATATTTAAATGGAAGATGACGAGAAGGCACAAAATGCTTATGGAAGGGAATGTGTCACCCACGAATTGGTGGTGTCAATCTTCGACGTCACTTACGATTGTTTTATCCAATTTTATACAGGTGAAAAATTATGTTACTTGGCTTTTGAAGATGTCAAAAGTCTTGAAGATAAACTCTTTGATAAACAATCTGTTTTTTTTATCACAAATCTTCCTTTTGAACGTATTTGACAAGATTGTATATTGCTCTCAATCGTTATGTTTTCATTCCAAAGAAGTCATTACAATATATAATGATTGTGTATCTTAACTTCCAAGTAACAATAACATCTATTTAGGAAATATTCCTATATCTCCTAAGATTCGTATATATCTCGTCCAATACTCCCCCTCAAGATGGTGAGTGGAGGTCACGAACTCCCATCTTACGAAGAAGATAAGAGAATTGAACACGTCCAAGAGCTTTAGTCAAAAGATCCGCCAACTGTTCAGTTGTTCGAACATAAGCAGGTACAAGTAAACCATCCTGAAATGCATCCTAAATGATATGGCAATCATTCTCAATATGTTTAGTCCGTTCGTGAAAAACTGGATTGCGAAGAATGTCAAGAGCGGACTTGTTATCACAGAAAAATGACACTGGTTCCGGATGAGGGACGCCAAACACAGGAAGTAGTTCCAATAGCCATTGCAGCTCTGAATATGTGTACGACATCGCTCTATATTCGGCTTCGGAAGAAGAACGCGAAACAACCTTCTGTTTTTTCGTCTTCCATGAAATGATAGAGTCACCAAGAAGAACAACATAACCAGTCAAGGAACGCCGAGAGATAGGACAAGACGACCAATCGGAATCACAGTAAGCTTTGACATGAAGGTTCGGATTGGAGTTGAAGAAAAGGCCTTGACCAAGCGTCCCCTTGAGATAACGAACAACCCGAAGAGCAGCATCCCAATGTTTCTTTCGCGGCTGAGCAAGAAACTGAGGCAAGAGATGTACAGCGTAACTTAAGTCAGGTCGAGTAATCGACAAATAAACCAAACGACCGATGAGACGTCTATAGCGCTTTGGATCGTCATAATAGTCGCCTTCATCACGTGCCAAAGTGTGATTTTGTTCCATAGGAGTGTCATACGGTCGTCCACCAGTTAAGCCACATTCCGTAATGATGTCCAAAGTATATTTCCTTTAAGACACATAAATGCCTTCTTTCCCACGTGAAATTTCGAGGCCGAGAAAATATTTCAAGACGCCAAGATCTTTCATATGAATACAGTGACACATGTAGGCTTTAAACTTGGTTAGAAGATCAGGGTCGTTACCACCAATAACAAGATCATCCACGTAGACAAGGACGTATACACACGACGAGCCACGGCAATAAGAGAACAAAGAATAATTTTTC